CACCCAGAAACTGGAGCCCAGAACAAAATGTAAAGATACCAGTTAACCTCGTTCGACCTCCATCGAGTCAAGAATCCATGCTCGATCCAGAAGAAACTGTAGTTTGAGGGCTGCTGACCCAAAATGTTCAAGAAGCTAGCTAGGATCTTGTTTTTAACCATGAACATGTGGATGGATTTTCCATATTTTACTCAAATGTTGACACACTATCCACATCTAGATTAGACGAACGAGTAACCATTATAGAGGGAAAAACCCGGACATAATTCACCTGACGGAAATACTCACCAAAAGGTCCAAATTTGAGCCCTGGTCTATCTCCTACAATATTGAGGGCTACAACCAGTTTAATAATAGTTCGAATCTGAACAGCAGGAGAGGAATTATAGCCTATGTCAAAAACAGTATCAACTGTGTCCAGATAGAAACTTACAGTAACACAGGAATCAGTCTGGTGTTCAATACATTTAGAAGGAAAAGATTCCCTGCTCACTGAATGCATATATCACGGTCCAAACAGTCCCCCTGAAAACTACCAACACCTAGTTACACACATTCGAGAAATCTGTAACATGAAACCATCCCATCTATTGATTACAGGAGACTTTAACCTGAAGGAGATTGACTGGATAACATGTAGTACATCTGTAGGAGTGGACCACATAGCTACCAAATTCCTCAACCAGATCATGGACAATTTGCTCTACCAACATATAAAAAAACGCGTTACAGAGAAGGCAATGAACCTTCAGTATTGGACCTTGTTTTTACTAATGAAGAAAACATAATAATAATGATAATAGTAATAATAATAAACTTTATTTATTGAGGATTAAAAACCCTGATTTAGCCAAAGGCTAATCTCCCTCAGGGTCCGTCATGTTAGTAAAATGTGCTAGTGTTTACATAGTATTTCTTAAAACATAGTAATATAAATTAAACATAAATGACATCTAAGATATAAGTTTTGAGATTGCTGAAAATATTACATGCAATTATATAGTACAATACATCAAATATCACAGAAAGCATAACTCTCATGCCTTGAAGGTCTGATAATAGTTAAATGACCGGAGCCTTGCATACATATATGCTAATATAGCAAAGTATAAAATTTACCAGGATATACGCTAATATAGCATAAATTAAAAAACTGTTTTCTTTATCTAAAAGTATGAATCACAGTAGTGCTTTATAGCTCTATGCTTAAAAGTGTTAAAAGATGGTAATGACCTTACATCATTTGGAAGTGCATTCCAAGTCTTACAACTTGATAAAACAAAGTGACTAGAATAGAAGGTTGTCCTGTGCTTAGGAATGTACAACACATTCTGTTCAGCCCGTCGTGTAGCTCTTAAGTGGACAGTGTTTACATGTTTAAAACAAGAACATAAATATTCAGGAGCAAGTCCATGTACACATTGAAAGGTCATTACAGTCAAGTAAAGGTCAAAACATGATTGGAGATATTTCATTTAATGCCAGTTTAGGCTCTAGTGACCACCTTTCCCTATCCTTTAGATATTCATGCTTTAGTGATGAATCCCCACCGCCAATTAGGAGAACAAATTACAACAGAGGGAACTACAATGCTATCCGCCAAGAGTTAAACTTAGTTAACGGGGACGTTATGGGCGACATGGACCTGGATGAAGCCTGGGAATTCTTTGCTGCAAAGATATCTATAGTTGATAAACACCATGTACCAGTGACGAAGGACAAACAGGCAGCACAAAGGGTACCCATGTACAAAACAAACTAACACTTGAAAAGATAAAAAAAACCTCTGTAAAAACTACCTTCATTGTAAAACTAACGAGAACTTTAACAAATACAAAGATGCAAGGAACAAAGCTACAACGATCATAAGAAATCAACACTACAACTTTGAGAAACAGATGGCAAGCAAGATCAAGTCTGACCCCACTTTATTCTGGAACTACGTCCGCAAAAGAGCCAAAACCAAAGAGAAGGTAACACAATTGGAAAAAACAAACGACAAGGAAAAGGCAGAAACTTTAAATCTACATTTTGCGAGTGTATTCGTAGATGAAGGCACAATTGAAATCCCCGTTTTCCCGCTACGAACACAAAATACTATCAGCTCAATCGCTATCACTGAAGACAAGCTATCAACAAACTAAAAACAAACAAATCTTCAGGACCCGATCAAATTCATCCACATTCTATAAAAGAAACTGCTGACGAACTCATCAAGCAACTAGCAATTATTTTCCGTAAATCTGTGCAACACCAAAAGTTACCTGCAAAATGGAAACATGCAATAGTAACGCCCATCTTCAAAAAAGGAAGCAAAAAAATCCAGGTAACTACAGACCGATCAGTCTCACGTCGGTTTTGGGAAAACTGCTACAAAAGATAATGAGAGATGGCATCGTCAAACACCTAGACGACAACAATCTGATCACTGAAAACCAACACGGATTCAGAAGTCATGCACAACACAATTATCAGAAACCCTTGAGGACTGGACAGAAGCTTTAGACCATAACAATCAAATTGATACAATCTACCTAGACTTCAAAAAAGCCTTTGATAAGGTCCCACACAAAAGACTGATTGAAAAAGTGGAAGGGAACGGGATAAAAGGAGAACTACTAGAGTGGATACGAGATTTTATAAAAGATAACAAACAGGAAGCAGTTGTAAACGGTCAATACTCATCATCCAAACTGGTCATCAGTGGAGTTCCACATAGGAGCGTGCTCGGACCAGTACTGTTCCTCATCTACATAAACGATCTACCAGAGTCACTTGACAATAAAATCAAATTGTTTGCCGACGACGCCAAACTCTACAAACCAACAAAAGCTAATGAGGATGGATTGTCACTCCAGAACGACATCAACAAGGTAGGCGAATGGACAGAAAATGGCTGATAGAACTAAATTCAGACAAATGTAAACACCTACAAATATATACAGGCCAATAAAAGAACAACGTCAGATATGAGATCACCCAGCAACGGGAGAGAGACATCTAATATATCTAGTGACAAGTGAGAGAGCTATCGGTGTAGTTATCGACAAAAACCTAAAAAATAGTGAACAAGTGAATACTGCAGTATCTAAAGCAAATAGAAACGTAGGTCTCATATTTAAAACCTTCAGTTGTATAAACAAAGAAATGTTTCACAACCTCTATAAATCCTTGGTATACGTCCATACCTTGAAATTAATGTCACCACATGGTCACCTATACTGAAAAAAGACCAACTCTCCTTAGAGAATGTTCAAAGAAGGGCAACCAAACTAGTTCCATCCAGTAAAGAGCTCTCGTACCCTGAGCGTATCCGACGGCAAGGGCTACCATAAATTGAATACAGAAGACTAAGATCTGACAATGTAGAAATCTATAAGCTGATAAACACCATAGATATAACCAACCAACAAACCATCCCTGCCTTCGACAACCTCAATACGAGGGGAAACTAAACAAGAGGCCCAAGGGCCTTAGCGGTCACCTGAGTTATATCATAGGTACTGGTAGCTTTATTTCATTGTTTAGATGTGATGAGGAAATCAGCATGTAAACTAAGTGAAATACAATACTTGTCATGTCATCAAAGGATAAGAATTTTAAAATATTTGTAAATGTTCCCTTTGGGGCCCAGCTCTAACCCCTGGGAATTCCAAGTTTTGCAATGTGATACCGTCATCCACCAAAGATGATTCTGACCAAGTAAAAATAATTTCCAACAGAAAATTGTCAAAATATACCCAAAAGTGTTGTTTCCCTATATAAACTATAGTAAACTTTACCCCCACCCCAAGGGAGAACGGATAGCTCGGGGGTCCTGAAAATTACAATTTAAATAAAGCCCCTGATGATCTTTTCATCTATGCAGAAAAAATGACTGTAATACCTCTGAGTCTGGAGAAGAAGATTTTTGAAATATTGGTTATTTTTTCCTTTGGGGCCCCGCCCTGGCCCCTAGGGTTGGGCTAGGAATTCCAATTTTACAATTTAAAACCATCTTCCTTCAAGGATAATTCTCACCAAGTAAGAATAATTTCCAACAGAAAATTGTAAAAATATACCCAAAAGTGTTGTTTCCCTATATAAACTATAGTAAACTTTACCCCCTCCCCAAGGGAGAACGGAAAGCTCGGGGGTTCTGAAATTTACAATTTTAATAAAGCCCCGATGATCTTTCCATCCATGCAGAGAAAATGATTGTAATACCTCTGAGTCTGGAGAAGAAGATTTTTGAAATATTACTTAATTTTCCCTTTTGGGCCCCGCCCTGGCCCCTAGGGTTGGGCTAGGAATCCCAATTTTACAATTTGGTAGCCTCATCTTTCAAGGATGATTCTGACCAAGTTTGAAAAAAATCCATCCACTGGTTCTTGAGAAGAAGTTTTTAATGTAAAAAGTTAACTCACGACGCACGACGGTCGAGGGACGACGACGGACGGAAAGTGATTGGAATAGGTCACTTGAGCAAAGATCAGGTGACCTAATAGAACCTGGAAAAAATCGGAACAAGACCAACATTAGGGGACATGCTTTTAAAAATAGAATTGTAAATAATTGGAATCAACTCCCTTCAATTGTGGTAAATTCCCCAACCTTAAATGTTTTTAAATCTAGACTCAATAAACATTGGGTCAACCATCCAATCAAGTTTTTACCATCGTGCTACTAATATGTAATACGTCCTCTGCACAACCTGCAAATATGTGAAAAACTATGAAGAAGCGTCAACAGAAGCAATACTATGCTTACGAAGACGTCGACCACCATGAACCATGTAATATGTCTCTGAGCAAACAATTAAAAGTCGGTAGAGATTTTTTACATTATGATATTACATTTTGGATATAGAAACAATTTAGCAAGCAAAGGACCCTTATATAAACGTAAAAAAATCATTGTGAAGGCCAAACCATGAGGACATTTTCTTGTTCATTTAATTTTACAAACGAACACACCCAACGAATGGTTCTATAACGAACGCGCCCGAATGACATCTGAACGCTTCCTCCAGGTGGCGCAGCATTCTAGAAAAGCGGCGCATTGTTTGAAAATACTGTTATTGAAATATTTAGAGGGAACGACTGAAAATGGCTCCAATTTTTGATGTTATTCGAGCATTAGCTCTTGTTGTAGGTTTTGCAGTAAGTCTTAGGGACAGGAAGACTGCAATGTTCGCAGATATGGTCTTCACGTCGTGGCTCGGAGCAGGAGCGATCCTCTTCCCACAATTTTTTATGGGTCAGCAGGTGCGTTTTTTCGTATATTGTCATTTGAATATATTGCATTAGTGCTTGCAGTTTAAGAATATTTCGATAGTGCAATCGCAAAAGGATTTCTAAGATGTAAATATGATATTACGAACGGTACACTGGAGTCAATGTATTTGGCTTTAAATTTTGAACTAATGCAAGGGAAGTAACTCTTATAGATTAAGGCATTACCAATAAAACCAGAAGAATAAAAAAAAATGTTTTCGCAATTGCTGTTACAGTTGCTCAAATGCAAGATTCTAACCCATGTGTGCAGTTGTTTTCCAGCTGCTGATATAAGTGTTGGTAATCAAATCATTGGTCCTGACAACTTGCCTGACAATTTTATATGCATATTAACGCTATGTATAATGATGTTCAAAAATGGTACTACTGTTCTTGCAATTATTTAATAAGGATTTCTCAACATGAACAATTATGCATATTTCTCTTTCACTGTAGGTGCAAAGTGACAAAACTATGAAAGACCCAGATAGTATCTTGATGTATCGCATGTATGGTGTGTATCTTTTGGTCCCCATGTTAATGTGGTACTCCTGCAGAAAATCCCGGGATGATAGTGTTGTTGGAGCTTTGCTGTGGTCCAGAGCTTTGGTAAATATCTCTGAAAAAATCAACATTAGATGTACAAGTCTCTTTTTCATATAATCTGTTGATTAAAAGAAGTGCTTCTCAGAAACATGCATGCTTTCTATTTTGACCAAGGGCTGAGGGGTGGGCTAAAAGGGGTCAATTTTGCTGGAAACCAATACCGTCATAGGTGAAAGGGTCTTGAGGTACTTTATCAAAATAGTGAATTTCATGACCCTCAAGCTTCATGATTGCCCCTGGGGAGGGGGATAAATTTACTATAGTTTGTATAGGAAAATCCAACTTTTGGGTATATTTTGTTCATTTTTTTTAATGGAAATCATTCAAACTTGATTTACATTATAACCATGAGATGACAGTTTGATACTTTGACATTTTTAACCCTGTCTCAGCCCATTGGGCTGAGGGGTGCAGCCCAAATGGACCCCGGCCATATAGCTAGAAATTTCAACAGTCATCTTCTCCAGACTGAGAAAGGCTGGAAACCAATGCTTGTCATAAATGGAAGGGTGTTGAGGTGCGTTATCAAATTGAGAATTTCATGTCCCGTAGACTCCATGTTTGCCCCTGGGGAGGGGGCAAAGTTTACTATACTTTATATAGGAAAATGATACTTTTGAGTATGTTTGGTTCATTTTCAATTGGAAATTATTCAAACATGTTTCGAGGGCTGAGGGGCTGGCTAAAAGGGGTCAAATTGGCTTGATTTATTTTTTTATCCAAACCCAGATAGGCTGGAAGTAAATAATCTACATAGATAGAAGGGTCTTAAAGCACTTTATCCCCTGAGGATGGGGTAACGTTTACTATAGACTAGTTAAATAGAAAAATGATACTTTTGGGTATATTTGGTTCATTTCCAATTGGAAATCATTGAAACTTGATAGACATTATAACTACGAAATAACAGTTTGATACTATGACACTTTGGGCTTTGGCCATCTTGGAATTCTTCTCCAGACTCAGATATGGCTTCGTTGACTTAAGTACTATCCCTGAACAAGCAATGTCTGACACATGCACTGAAGCAAAATTATTATTAAGAAGAATAAACTGGAAGAGATTAAAAATAATGGTGTACACATCTATAATGTTATATTATAAATAACTTTTCCAAAGGCCCGATTGTTCTCTTAAACAACACTTTGTATGTTTGCCGTTTATCATGTTAATTTTAACATTAACAAAATATGTTACCTTTTTATACATGTAGTTCAAGTTACTTTTGTTACAAAATTATTTCTTTTTCATTTGGCAACATCGATGACATCAGTTTTTACATAACAGGTGACCTTTTTTTTTTAAATTTTCAATTGTGCTCAATTTATGCTCTGGTTTCTAACTTTCTTATCGTCTTTTCCTGTTTGCAGGGACTCCTTCCATTGCTAATGGTGTCGCTATACGGACATTTTTCCACCAAAAAGATTTTCACTGACAGAGTAAGTATTGATTTTAGGTCAAAATAGCCAACTCATTTGTATAAACATTTTATGAAGCTTTTTATGAAATAAAAAGGTTTTGTTTTGGCTTACTGTAATTTTAGAAAGTTTGATATGATGTTCCTATACCTGTATATGCACCAAACATAATACATATCATACATGTAATATACAATTATATAGATAGTAAAAATATAATGCTAAAATCAAATTGAACTGGCCAAAACAGCAACTGAAATGGTCGAAACAGCCAGCAGCCTGATCTTATGAAGCAACTGTCATATAATGAATTTTGTTGTTGTGATGTGTATACGCTATACATGTACAAATACAGAGAGCTACAGTAAGTTTTTTACACACTTGTAGAAATATTAAGTTGACAGTTTTAATAAACAATAAGATATCTGCTATTTACTAAAAAAACAATTAATCTTAAATTACACAAATCACATCTATTAAATACATATCATTATGTTAAGTAGCATGATTCATTTTCATTGTGCTATCAAACTGTTTCCTCATTATGTTTTGTAGAACATGTGGTTCTTCGTTCTGTTTATTGGCTGCTCCTGGGTATCTAATGTTGTACAGCTGGTGACAACAAGACCATCGGTTGGACGAAGGGAACAGAAGGGTCCAGTCAGCACTATTTTTCGACTTGAATTCCTGGTCTTTTTCGTTGTAGGCTTGGGAGTAATGGCTTTCCCACATATGTCCCTAAGTCTTTTTGTGAGTATGAGGCAGCCCTTAGTACCATAGTGGTTATAAGGTGACCTTTAATTTAATCCCTTTGCAAGTAAAAGATGATTAGCCTTGATTTTATAGTGGATATAAGGAGGCCTGTATTTCCTTGAGTAAGTATAAGGCCTGTAGTCCCTTTGATGATTATAGGATGGCCTGTAGTCCATATGATGAGTATCAGGTATAATGCCACCTATAGTTCGTTCCTTGGTACGCTTTGGGTCTAATTGTGGGAGCAAAACGGAGTACCTGGAAAACCTCCACATGGTCAGACAGGCGACCTCATACAGTGCATTTTCACGTCTGATCGGGGAATCAAACCAAAATGGCATGATTGAAGATATTTAGTCAATAGCCTGCATAGAAAGAGGGTAAGCAGCAGTTCAAAATGGCACGATTGAAGATATTTAGTCAGTAGCCTGCATAGAAAGAGGGTAAAGCAGCAAGTTGTTCAATGAAGTATTTTCACCCATATTCAAGATCACAAGGGTCAATTGTCTAAAAAAAACTCTTAACAAATTCTTATGAATAACCAAGAGGCGCAGGGTTAGGATAGTTAGCCAGTAACATGCTGGAATGAAAGACTACAAGGTCTTCAAATGAATAACCTTGATTTATATGCAAAGTCACAGAGGTCAAATATAACGGAAAGGCACGGGATGCTGATACCTGGCGAGTAACTTGTGGGAATGAAGGGCTACCAATTTTGATCAAATTAATGACCTTGATACAGTTTCAAGGTCACCGGTGTCTAATGTTGAAAATATCTTCTATATGCTTTTATGTCAATAACCAAAATGCTAAGGGTGACTATATTTCGACTGTGTCTTAATTTAGCCCACTGACTTTATGTGTTCACTCTTGGCCAGCTTTGAAGATCACTGGTGTCCGATTGATACCAGGCAAGCGATTCTTCTATAAGGCATGAAAAGAAAATCAAAAACATTTATTGACACCATTTGATTCTGTCTCCAGATAGCAAGTCCAAAAATCTTCCAGATCCATCTAGGGCGTGTTACTGCTGCCCTTATGTTCAGTCAGATTTTCCTGGCCTGGTTCGCACCGAGCTTTAGAGACAATGAAGATAGAAGGAGGCTTTTCTGCATGCAGCTAACGGTAAGCCATATTTTTCCACTTCCTATACGACAATAAAACATACAATACATTTCTTTTTACTTCTGATGTTTATATGAAACTCAGTGATCAAAAAGGAAATATGCCGTATCTTACCTATAGAGTAATTACTAACTCACCTAGGACTTGATTCTTTGTTCATAACAGAAAAGGTGATGGGATCACCACCCAATTACCATGTATACAAAATTGCTAACTTTTAAATACTCCTATGCTACCATGTTTTCTGCAGGGTATAGCCCCACCTCAAGTTACTTAATCCCGGTTCTCCCCAGGCCATTTAGCTGATACGTTGCCGTATCAGATTCAGATAGAAATCCACCATGCTGTATAAACCAATAACTGGCTATATATCACCTTAAACTATAAACTGTATCACCTTGTAATATGCACTGAGGGGTCTTTTAAAAAAACAACAATGAATCAATTACCACTGTGCCCTCTTACATGATCAATAGGTGATTAATTTGAGGAAACAATTGTAAGACTTGAAAACACATACACTTGATAAGGCTCTTATGAATAAGTTTACTCGCATATGATTGCATTTGACAACGCTGAAACAGTGTGTGTATTCAGTTAGTGATGGTCGCCATGTTTGATTGTTTGAAGTACAAAACAGAAAGTGGAATGAAAATCCGGATTGTTATAAAAAGCTGTTTAAACCTTTCATCAAATTAAATGACAATATTTGATAACAGTTGAAGGATGTACACCTCTGGGAAGTCAAAAATTTCCTGTATTAAACTTTTTTTCTTATATGGATTTTTGGAAATAGGAGTAAATGGCATAGTAGAAAATGCAAAAAAAACCATATGTCCGTGTGCTCGTTTTTGTGCTATGATCGGTCAAAGATACCTATTTACCACAACATGTGATTTTAGGTGATTTTTTGGGTTTTGACCACTTGCAGAACAAATTCATGCAATTTCTTCCAAGTGTGTTATCAGATATGCATAAATGTTTGTAGAATTGTTGAAAATATTATTTTCTTTTAAACTATGGAAGTAAAATTTCTTAATCTTATTGTTTTAACTCAAAAAGCCGATTTTAGTTACCCCTACCCCCTATTTCTTAATGAAAAAATACTCATTTTTTACAGATTAAACGCTTGATATAAAAAGTTACGGTATTCAACTTTTTTTAATATTTAATGAATTAAATGAAAACATGTTTCTCTTTCTAAAACATCTACGAAAGGGGGGGCAGTGTGCTTTTTTTTTTGTCCCATTATCATTTGTGTTATCTTTTACTTTTTTCGGGGTCAAAAATCAAAATTGCTTCAGTTACACTAAATACGTAAAAAAATATCAATAATGTATAATTTTTCAGTTTGTTGCATATTATTTTTATCATATTGAACATTATAAAGTTGTACAGCAAAAATGAACCTGCTACAATTAAAAATGGCGACACAATGACAATTTAAGTGATCAATCTAGTGCCAAAAAAGGTGAAATTTTGGCCTTTTTTGAAGCACAAGATTTACACAATACACATTTTCAAAATGGCCGCCGAATTGGTAATTTTTTTAAATTCTTGTAAAAAAAAATCTACAAACAACAGGCATCTAGTTTTTTGACATATTTTTCAGATGCGTGTTTGCTAATAAACTTATTATAAGTTGTTAAATGTTACAAAACCCCATTACACCAGATCAAAACGAGACTTGAACGTGATTGAAACCTCAGAAGAGTACATCCTTAAGAAAAATTTTAACACTGTAAATTTATGTTAAAAGTTTTTAGCTCACCTGGTCCAAAGGACCATGGTGAGCTTACGCCATACTGCAGCGTTCGTCATCAGTCTGTCAACTTTTCCTTTAAAACGCTACTCGTCCTGAACGGCCAAGTAGATTTTGACTCAATTTTGTATAAACAGTGGGTGTGCCGCCGCCCCCCCCCCCCAGGGGGCAGAGTGGCGGGGCCCAATAGGTGAAATATAGTAAATTCTTTAATATCCTTCTTCTGTAGGAATGAAAGGATTTGGTCTGAAGCATCCTAGGGTGAAGGGGAACCAATTTTGTATAAACAGTGGGTCTGCCCCCACTCCCCCTCCCCCCAGGGGCCTGAGGGGTGGGGCCCAATAGGGGAAAAATAGCAAATTATTCTTTAAAATCCTTCTTCTTCTGTAGGAATGAAAGGATTTGGCCCATATTTGGTGTGGAGCATCCTTCGGTAAAAGGGAACCAATTTTATATAAACAGTGGGTGTGGGACCTGAGGGACGGGGTCCAATAGGGTAAATAGAAGTAAAACCTTTATGATCCTTCTACCATAGGGATTAAGGGATTATATCCTAATTTAGTCTGGAGAATCCTTGGGCAAAAGGGACTCAATTTCTTATAAACAGTGGTGTGGCCCCCCTGGGGGCAAAAGGGAGGTGCCCAATAGGGGAAACAGCAAATTCTTCAAAAACATTCTTCTGTATGAATGACAGGTTTTTGTCCAAATTTGGTATGAAGCATCCTTGGGTGAAGGGGAACCAATTTTGTATAAACAGTGTGTCTGACCCCCCTAGCCCTGGAGGCAGAGAGGCAGGGCCCAATAGGGGAAATAGAGGTAAATCCTTAAAAATCATTCTTCTACCATACTGTTTAAGGGATTTTATCCTTATTTAGTCTGGAGCATCCTTGGGCCAAGAGGTCTCAATTTTGTTTTATTGGTGGGTATAACGTATGACCCCGCTAGGGACATAGGGGTGGGGCTCTGTTTGAAGTTTGTTCTCAGGATAAACTGAGGATACAAATGTAAAGAAAAAAATTATATTTATATTATTCAATGTACAAAACCCATACACCTTTCAACCTTTTTTTTTTTTTTTGTAACACATTTTATTTGTTTTCTTTTTCTTTTATTTTAAAATTCACCAAAAGTTTGGTAAATAAAAGAACTTATTTAAAGAGAGAGAAATTAAGGGCCACACATGCATTATGACCTCTCCCCCTAAATTTGATATGGTATTGTTGAGCATGCAGCAGTGCTGTGTCCGACTTGAAAGTCTGTTGAAAATAAATCATATCAGCTTAAAAATTCTGGGGAGACCCCTGCCTGGGTTATAACTTTGAAATGGTTGAGATCCCCGCCTTATATCCAGAATATATATTATATAGATACATGTACATATGCTTGGGTTAAAGAGACAAACACAACTTGGGGTCTGGCAATGTCCTTAGGGACAGTATGGAAATAGTTTCGATCCCCACTCTGTATCCATATTAACAATTGCTGGGTATGTAAAGTTGAGATATATTACTGGGATCAGTCTCGGGATTCGTCCCCTCACATATATGGACTTACTTCCTGGGTCGCGACATACATCATGGTTCGCACAGGTCTTGAAAAAACCTTGAATTTGATGTCTGTCTTGAAAAACCCTTGAATTTGATGTCTGTCTTGAAAAAACCTTGAATTTGATAAGCCTTGAAAAACTCTTGAAAATCAAAGAAATTAGTTGGGTATCCGTTTCTGTCATGTTAATTCAGTATTTTGTTATAAACATTCGTCGCAAACAATAATTATTTTTAACACAGATTGATCGTCAAATTGCAGATTGTAATTTCTAATAATTCCGGAAAATATATATACCAATGAAGTTTCCGGTTTTACTTTTTCAATTCGTATCATCACCGCGTTTGAATTGAGTAAGTATCGTAGTCAAAGCGCCAAAGTGACAGACAGTCATGCGCATTAAGAGTACTGTTAACAGGAGGGGAAATGGCAAATGGCTAGACGATCCCAGAATTGTTTGGGTGAGGGTGTTCAAGGGTGATAGGACTTCTGCTTTGTGCTCACTGTGTAACAAAATTATTGATCTGGGCAAGATTAAGGAATACGCCCTTGCATCACATGAAAAGTGATAAACACGTGAAACAATTTCGGGGACCGCTTTGACTTGGCCGTTGACACTTTTATGCCAAACCCTCTACTTCAAGGCATGTACATTGAGACCTACCTCGACTGTTCCTAATCTAAATCCGAACACGGATGCCGATGACTTTCCTTCAATCCTAGCCCCTCAAGGCCTTGTTGTTCATTAAAATTGTTTGTTTATTTTGCAATATAAATGAGCCCTTGAATTTTCAAAATTTGTCTTGAAAAAACCTTGAAAAGTCCTTAAATTTGGAGGTCAAAAGTTTGTATGAACCATGTGAGATTTCACCCTTTATATACTGTATTTGACCACAAATAAGACATCACTCGTCCCCACTCGGCAGATATCCTAGGAACAGGGTACCTCCTCCCTGTTTTTGTTGATATTTTTTTTCACTGAGGATGTAGGCTTATTTGTAATCATATATGGTTACCCTATAAACAGTTCCTGAGTATGAAGAGACAAATACACATATGCTATAAAAAAAAATCGATGAGATCCCCACACAACAGCATTTGGTTGGATATATTTCCAGAATTGGCCTGGTGATCTGCTGCATAAAATGGAAACAGTTGAGATTCCAACCCTATAACAAAATATTTAATTGCTGAGTATAATAATTGGATAAGCATAAGCTACAAAGATCAGCCCTGGTGTCTGGCCCCACCCTGGGAACTTAAATTAGCCCCTGGTTCATTACATGGAAATAGTGGAGATCCCTACCCCATAACCATATGTGTATGTACAATTGCTGGTTATGAAGAGAAAACACATTCATGCTATTATCATTGTCCTGCTCATTTGGACTAAGGCACAACATTTAGTTAAAAAAACTGTTTTTTGAGGTGGGTCAGCGCTCCATATAGCTATATAAATAGCATCTGTTTTGTTGAAACTTTCAGAATAAAACTATTTTAAAATATTATAGTTAATACATCAATCTGTTAAGATAGCTCAGTTTTGCAAGAAATGTTTATATTAAAATATCTTTTTCAATGCATGCTGGTTTATTTTAGGTAATGATGATAAATTCAAAAATGTTGATAAGTTAAAAAATGTACCCTGTTGTATGTTCAGATGTTGTTCCTGGCTGTTGGATGTATAGCCTGTGCCTTCTATAGTGGAACAATGAGTGTAGTACAGCTGCGGATCTTCCTGGTTAGCTGTGCACCCTTCCTCCTGCCCGCCGCTGGACTCTATTTCATATCTGAGGGCACTCAATCCTCCTCCACCTCCAAGACATACTTCACGAGGTCAAAGGCTTCGTAGTGTGGAAAGATTCCCACCATCCTCTACCAAATCTGATTGGACTTTCATGTAAAACCACATAAGTATAATATTTGATCCTTTCATTTACATGAACAAATCATATCCTGCTAGTTCTATTGCTTCATGCAACTGTCTTCACTTCTTGTGTGAATTAACACTGCAATCTTTAAAAAAGTATTATTGGGGATGATCATAACATTATTTTAATGTTAACATTATATACATTATTGTTTCTTCATCCTTTCGGGGAAAAGTACAAATCACGTTGCTATTTGAAATAGCAGTCACTGGTGTGGAAAGGCAGCATCAATTGTATATAAGTACGATATTAATTCACGAGTCCAGGACATTTCTGTAAATACAAGAGTAGATATTTCATGTGTATTAAAGCACTTTCCATTACTAGTCCAATTAACCAACTTAAAATTAACATACAGATTAAAAAGCACCTCCTTAGGTAGTTAATACATGTGTTGTTAAGGTACAACAAATTTTTTTTTTCAAATTTACTGTTATATTTGATTCAGATTTTTTTACAAGATTTAATACATTTGTATTTCATGTATGAGAAAGTTTTTATTTTGGACTTGTTATTTTTATTTTTTTATATGCTAATTTTATCACATGCTGATATTTTTAAAAGAAGTTTTTACTTTTGTATGTAAAAAAGATGTACTTTTGTAATTAAAAAAGATGTGCATTTGATTTTACCTTTTTTTACCTTTACGGTTAGAGATTTAAATGTGTAATATTATCATACAAGGTTAATTGTATGCTGTGGTCAGTGCTGCCAATTACCTTGGCTCAAAAAGAACTAAGGGTGGATAACAGACTTTTGGTCATGTGTTTTTGAATGTTAATTCTTTTCTTTGTATTACATAATGAATTTGTAAATATAGATAGTTTGATATAATCATCTACAAAATCAACATTACTGCTGATCAAAGACATCTTTTCTTGATAACATAGTATCATTTCCTATCCTTAAATAATACCAGTTATGTCCAGTTTGCAGAAAATTGAATGTTAAGGCATTTAGTTTCACCAAGGTCATTGGTATATAGTGATGTTGTAAAGGTTTGTTTTCAAAAGCCCAAATGTGTCATGATAGCCAGGTAGATACAAAAAAGACCAAATTGAATGTGGAATATAAGAATTAGGAGGCAAAGCTGCACCTAAAAAAGATGTTTATTGCAAGACATTTAAACAAATAAATAAACAAGTCTGTGCCATGTTGTTGTTAACAACATTATTAACCCGTTAACCTCATTTATGTTTGAATATAATTAACAAATTATATTTTTGCGATATCCTATTTTTTTAATTTTTTTTTTTATCAAATTTGATAAAGAGATATTATATTTGAAACCTACCTAACCAAATAAAGGTGTTTAGTGTATATGTGACTTGTTTTTATTACATAAATCCTGACAGTAGATCTCTATATTACCTACCATTATTTTTAAATCATTGAACAATGTCTCCTTTCCAAGCATTACGCACCCTTATCTATGATAATGACATATTGGACAAGCATACCTACAAATGACAGCTCTGAAATTCTAGCTGTAAGACATCAGGTATTGAACATATCCTTGATTTGTGCGTTACAAAAATTAAACCTTTTATTAATTGTGTAAAAATGTTACATTTTGAACTTACAATTTTCTTGATAGTAGATAAAACTTGTGAGTGACTGACTGTATACTTATATGTGGTACGTTTACACCATTTTTTGCTGGGATGGTACAAAATCCCAGATTGAGGTTTTCGATGTGGTGCTTTATCTGCCGCCTGTCTTCCGACATCCTGTGCATTAAATGGCATATCCTCTAAAGCAACCCAGTAGGTTTGAACCAAATTTTGAAAGTGGTATCATAAACCCATAGCGATATAAAGAAATAAAGGGGCTGACCCTCATATGGGTTGAGGGAGGGGGTCAAGTTGGCTTAATTCGTAAGGCCAATATATTTCAATTTTAACTCCAGCTGGACTCGGTTGGCCTATGAACATCCATCTTCACGGGCAGGTCAACGGTATCTACAATTATGACATCATAATGATTTCATGGATCAAGAATTTTATAGCTGTTATATTCCTATTCCTGCAAGTTGGACTTCATTTGACTATATTTACATTTGCGCTGCAACCCACCATATGAACATTACCAAATGCATTTCATTTAAGCATTGAACTACTTTCAGTTGGCATTCATAGGCAATATGAATGCCAACTGGAGAAAGGAAAATTCAATTAAGTGCCTTAGCGCTTCATGTTTCATTTGCCTTTGTCCAGTTGGAATTCATTTTTCCTATGAATGCCAACAGAAAGCAGTTCAAAACTTATATTTACCATTGTTCTAATCTGTTTATTTCATAGAAATTTCAATTACATTTACTATTATTCAACATTTAGTTTAAATAATTCATGTATCGTTTATGCTTGTTCAATGAATAGAACAGCCATCGCCCAGGGAGGGTCAGTGGTATCCAACGTAATAATTATGACGTCAACAATCGTTCAATGGCATTCATAGCCTATATGAATGCCAACTGATTTTGGTAGGGTTATATAGTGACAATGCCATACGATGGTAAATATTTGAGCATGGAAGCAAAAACTTTCGTGACGTAACACGTGGTTTACTTATGACGTCATAGATTGACCTTGTTCAATGAGAGACTTGTCGCTTTGCTTGGGGTAGCTTGGATAATGCCAAAATGGCGTCAATTTTATTGAAATAGGGCTGTTCCGCCAACATCGTTTAAAGGATGACGCATATACAAAACGCAGTATATAAATCAAATATTTAAGATCAAATAATTAAATTTCAGCAATTGTTCTATCGTAAAAATGCCCAGCGGCTTCATGTTTGTTATGGCTGTAACCGATTTGCGTTCATACCGGCATGACCCCCCCCCCCAATAAAAAACGCCATTCAATCCCTATATGAAACTTACCGTTTAGTGTATATTGGAATAACTCAACAAGAATCTTGAAAAATAAGCATATTTTTTTTTAATTTTAACAACTACTTGCGAGAATGGAGTGTTAGTCTTTTCTTCTTTGCCTCATTGTGGAGTATTTTCCTGAAGGTGGAACTGATACAGAACTGCTGCTGACGGAAGGCCGCCATCTTGTCGCTGGGACTGGAGTCTAGATATACGCAGTGGTCGGGGGACTCCTTTCCGAGAAACTCCCTAACCAGAGACAAGTCTGAACTGCCATACAGTTTTGTCATCTTATCCCGACTCTGGTTGATGAGGTAGGACAGGCGACCGACGAACTCCCGATAGGAGCTGGACGTGCGAGTGCGTCCCGCCATTGTCGCCCGGAACATAGAGCCTTTATCTAACTCAGGATGTACGGGGGTCCGCGGAGGTCGGGCCCGTGGGTGCGAGGCCGACACCATTCTCCCGCTTGGTGATAATGGTGGCAGACGACTGATAGAACTTCCGATAGGAGTACTTTTGTGGTAGCTGTCGGACATGGACGGTATGGCGACCCGATATATGTTGGAGATGTCCTGCAGGCGCTGCTCCATCCGCCGAGACATGTTCTTCTCCTCTTGTTGAACCCGCTCTATCTTGGAATTTCGCCGCTGAATCTGCCTAAAAGAGGGGTCAGGCGACGGCGGCGGGAGCTGCGTAATGTTGTACACGTTCCCCACCTCTACAGCAGCCTTCGTCTTCTCTGCCGTGGCTTTAACGTCATAGAACGCGATCTGCTTATTCGTCTTACCGCCATCTTCTATCCGAGTTTGTCTAGCGTCCGCCATTGTATGCACCTGAAAGTCAAAGCACCAACATAATGTATTCGTAACCCGTTTAAAACGTAGTTACAGAGCAAGAACGAAAGTTTATTTGTAACTAAGTTAAAGAGCAATATAATAATTTGTTACAGAGTAGAAAATGTAAGTGTATAGTTGTTTCTTTTATCGAAACTTACCTTTCCAGGCGAGTTTTCCTTGCCGAGGCAACCTTGCGAGACCACAGGTATCCTTAACAGAAGGCAATAATCGAATTAGTACAATTGTTCGTTTATGACATCCCTACTTCGCCACACATTGTTTGCTGGTGACATCCAAATACACATGACTGTGCCATTTTCCCCGTTACATACCTCATCCGTCACATGTTTTCTCCGTTCGTCACACTGTTACATTTTCTTACTTGCTACATGTTCGGTCGTTACATTTCTCCCCCGTTACACATTGTTCGTCCCGTTACAAATGTCTATCCTCCCCGTTACACACTGTTCGTCCATTACATTCCCCCCATTACACACTGTTCGTCCATTACATATCTTCCCCGTTACTCACTAATCGTCCCTTACATATATTTCGCGTTGCTCACTATTCGTCCCATACATATATTTTCCGTTACGCACTGTTCGCCTGGTACATGTCTTCCCCGTTACGCACGGTTCGTCCGGTACATATCTTCCCCCTTACTCACTAATCCGCCCTTACATATATTTCCCGTTACGCACTGTGCGTCCGGTACATGTCTTCCCCATTAAGCACTGTTCGTCCGGTATATGTCTTCCCCGTTACGCACGGTTCGTCCGGTACATATCTTTCCCGTTACACACAACAGGGTTTGTTCCTGCTTATACACGGGTGCAACGCAGTGGCGAGAACAGTGTTTTTTCGCGGGGAAATGTGACACTATCGTGAGAGATCTTAGCAACCGCCAACAACAATAACACAACAAAATGTAGTTCCATATTCAGTGTTTATTTGTAGCACAGGACACGTGAATACGTGGATATTTCACAAAGCACAGTTCAATAATATTTTAAGATGTAAGTATTAATCATCTAGGTCGGTCGTTCCGAGTGAGTAGTTTTTGTAGTGTATTACTACGCAGTGTGATCAGGTTACTATCAGTTCCCACGTGCTGAGATTCTATGAACACCTGTGTTATGCATTTATGAATGTAATTTTTGTCAATGGGTCTAAGCATACAGAATGTAAATATTCACTAATCGTCCCTTACATATACTTCCCGTTGCTCACTATTCGTCCCTCACATATATTTTCCGTTACGCACTGTTCGCCTGGTACATGTCTTCCCCGTGACGCACTGTTCGTCCGGGACATGTCTTCCCCGTTACGCATTGCTCGTCCGGTACATATCTTCCCTGTTACCCACTGTTCGTCCATTACATTCCCCCCATTACACACTGTTCGTCTATTACATATCTTCCCCGTTACTCGCTAATCGTCCCTTACATATACTTCCCGTTGCTCACTATGCGTCCCTTACATATATTCCCCGTTGCTCACTATTCGTCCCTCACATATATTTTCCGTTACACGCTGTTCGTCCGGTACATCTCTTCCCCGTTACTCACTAAACGTCCCTTACATATATTCCCCGTTGCTCACTATTCGGCCCTTACATATATTTTCCGTTACGCACTGTTCGGTCATTACAAACGTGCATCTGCCCCGTTACGCACTGTTAGTCCGTTACATATCTTCCCCGTTACTCGCTAATCGTCCCTTACATATCTTTCCCGTTACACACTGATTTTTGTCAATGGGTCTAAGCATACAGAATGTAAATATTCACTAATCGTCCCTTACATATATTTCCCGTTGCTCACTATTCGTCCCTTACATATATTTTCCGTTACACACTGTTCGTCCGGTACATGTCTCCCCCGTTACGCACTGTTCGTCTGGTACATGTCTTCCCCGTTACACACTGTTCACCCGTTACATGTACTTCCCCGTAATACCTGTCTCCCCCGTTACACACTGTTCGTCCGGTACATGTCTCCCCCGTTACACACTGTCCACCCGTTACATGTACTTCCCCGTAATACACTGTTCGTCCGGTACATGTCTCCCCCGTTACACATAGTGTTCGCCGGTAACATACTTCCCCATTACACACTGTTCGACCGTTAAATTGATTCTCCGTTATTCACTGTTCGTACCTTACATATATGTTCCCTGTTACACACTGTTCGTCTGTTACATATTTCCCCCTTTACAAACAGCTCGTCCCTTACATATCTTTCCGGATAAAACACGATTCGTCTGTTAAAGTGTCTTCCTTGCTTCTTTTGTTTGGCCGTTACATTTCTCCCCCTTTTCACACTGTGCGTCCGATACATATCTTCCCGTTACTCATTGTTCGTTAAATTTCTTCTCAGTGACACTCTGTTTGTACCATACATATTTTACCCATTATACACTGTCTTTCCCGTTACACATTGTTCGTCCGTTACATATCTTCCCCGTTACACACTGTTTGTCCGTTATACATTGTTCGTCCGATACATTTCTTTCTTGTTACACTATTTGTCCGTTACACATTGTTCGTCTGTTACATATCTTCCCTGTTACTTACTGTTCGTCCGTGATATATCTTTCCCGTTACACACTGTTCGTTCGTTACACACTGTTCGTCCGTTACACATTGTTTCTTTGTCTGTTACATTTTCCCCGTTACACATTTTTCGTCCGTTACACATTTTCCCGGTTACTTACTGTTGACATATCTATCCCGTTACACACTGTTCGTCCAGTACATTTATTTCCGGTTACACACTGATTGTCAATTACATTTCTTCCAAGTGACACAATGTTTGTCCGTTACATATCTTCCCCGTTACACATTGTTCTTCCGTTGCATTTCTTTCCCGTTACACTCTTTGTCCGTTACATTTCCCCGTTACACATTGTTTGTCCGTTACATATATTCCCCGTTACTCACTATTCGTCCGTTACATATCTTCCCCATTACACACTGTTCGTCCGTTACATATCTTCCCCGTTTCACATTGTTCTTCCGTAACATATCTTCCCCGTTCCTCACTGTTCGTCCGTAACATATCTTTCCTGTTACACATTGTTCTTCCGTAACATATCTTCCCCGTTCTTCACTGTTCTTCCGTAACATATCTTCCCCGTTCCTCACTGTTCGTCCGTAACATATCTCCCCCGTTCCTCACTGTTCGTCCGTAACATATCTTTCATGTTACACACTGTTCGTCCGTTACATATCTTCCCAATTACACACTGTTCGTCCGTTACATATCTTCCCCGTTCCTCACTGTTCGTTCGTAACATATCTTTCACGTTACACACTGTTCGTCCGTAACATATCTTTCATGTTACACACTGTTCGTCCGTAACATATCTTTCATGTTACACACTGTTCGTCCGTAACATACCTTTCATGTTACACACTGTTCGTCCGTTACATATCTTCCCCGTTACACACTCTTTGTCCGTTACGTTTCCCCGTTACACATTGTTCGTCTGTTACATATCTTCCCCGTTACTTACTGTTCGTCCGTGATATATCTTTCCCGTTACACACTGTTCGTTCGTTACACACTTCCCCGTTACACACTGTTCGTCCGTTACACATTGTTTGTTTGTCTGTTACATTTTCCCCGTTACACATTGTTCGTCCGTTACATATTTTCCCGGTTACTTACTGTTGACATATCTTTCCCGTTACACACTGTTCGTCCAGTACATTTATTTCCGGTTACACACTGATTGTCAATTACATTTCTTCCAAGTGACACAATGTTTGTCCGTTACATATCTTCCCCGTTACACATTGTTCTTCCGTTGCATTTCTTTCCCGTTACACTCTTTGTCCGTTACATTTCCCCGTTACACATTGTTTGTCCGTTACATATATTCCCCGTTCCTCACTGTTCTTCCGTAACATATCTTCCCCGTTCCTCACTGTTCGTCCGTAACCTATCTTTCATGTTACACACTGTTCGTCCGTTTCATATCTTCCCTGTTACACACTGTTCGTCCGTTACATATCTTCCCCGTTACACATTGTTCTTCCGTAACATATCTTCCCCGTTCCTCACTGTTCGTCCGTAACATATCTTTCACGTTACACACTGTTCGTTCATTACACACGTGTATTTTCTCCTTTAAACACTGTTCGTCCGTTACACATTGTATGTCCGTTACATATCTTCCCCCGTTACACATTGTTATTCCGTTACATATCTTCCCCGTTACACACTGTTCGTCCGTAACATTCTTTACCGTTACATACTGTTTGTCCGTTACATTTCTTTAAACTGAATGTCCGTTAATCCCTCTTCCCCGTTAGTTCTACACATTATTCGTCTTTATACACTGTTCAATCTAGTGTATTTGTTCCCGTTACAAATTGTACGTCCTTTATATTATAATTACTTCCCCGTTACACATCATGGGACTGTTACATTACTGGTCCGTTTTACACTGTCCGATCGTTAGTCAACTTACCATCCCACCACCCCTGTGGCCATGGCGTTACATTCGTGATATTAATACATCGTTAACACAAATATACTCACGTTGGGACGTCCCAGTACGTAAACGGAATATTATAGAATCAAGACATCCATAAATCGGAGAGAGATTCTCGGTTACCAGGGCCAGTCAAAAATAATTATAGTGACGTCATAGAACTTTTGCCATTATGACGTCAGACTTTTATGACAATTATGATGTCCGCTGCATGCTAATTGTTTCGACTGTGTTTTCAAAGGCTCTTTGCTAAGTGAAGGTGTAAGTAAATCTGCCGTTTGTTGCATGCTTATTGCTAAGTGAAGGTCTAAATCTGACGTTTGCTGATGATAACAATAGTATGAAATAAACCCCTTTTACTCGGCATTTAACATTGATTATTTGATGAAACAGACCTTACATCAATGCAATATGAACGCAGAAGAGTGCTCGACTGGAATATCAGACACACAGGGACTAGACACGCCATAATGTTTAGTAATAGCGAGCTAAATTAATAGTCGCAGAACAGAATATATAATAGAATTTATCTGCGGTCATCACGACCGTAGTCCTTGTGTGCAGGTCTCCAATAGTAAACCGCGCAAAATTGTCGACCAAACATTACAACATCATGAAAGCATCACTAACACTCTAGTCTAATTTTATTTTACCGATAACCAAGTTGTACTTGTGGTGTCATACAAAACATGTTAACGTGAAAATGCAGTCTGAATTAACAACGTACCAATTCATGTATTCGACACACGTATGACTTGGGTCTGGCCTATCTTTTTCCCACCAAATTTTAGTCCAAGACTTATTTTGGATTTCTGTCAGTAGTTAGCGAATTTGTTTGCCAGTTTGTGTTGATTCTTACACGGTTAAGTGGGCAGACTATTGCTGTAGCGGCCTTGACGCATATTCTTATTTCAATTTCGTTTGAGGCGGGTACATGGTAGCGCAGTGAAGAGCAGTGGAAAGCAAGGAAAATCGTGTACCTTTCTCATCCTCCAGGCGGAAGTCATCGTAACCCCTGGAGTACCAAGGATGCGCCCCTCTAGGCTGCCTCCTGTATCAAGATGGTCATGGCCTTAATTACTAGACCAATTTGCTACCTTATGTGAGAAAGGATAAGTAAGATACGGGTAAGATAAAACATGCACTGTTAAGTCCTCGACATCTTGATTGTAGTTCGCTCCCGAGCGGGCGCGTGATACTCCCTTGGTAGTCTGTCCTCTTGTCACATACCTTCATCCCCGACAATCCCGGAGTTACGCTCACTTAACTCTCGGCACCCCTGGAATCATCCTCGACAATCCAGTTACGCTAACTTAACTCTCGGCACCCCTGGAATCATCCTCGACAATCCAGGAGGTACGCTCACTTAACTCTCGGCACCCCTGGAATTATCCTCGACAATCCAGGAGTTACACTCACCTAACTCTCGGCACCCCTGGAATCATCCTCGACAATCCAGGAGTTACGCTAACTTAACTCTCGGCACCCCTGGAATTATCCTCGACAATCCAGGAGTTACACTCACCTAACTCTCGGCACCCCTGGAATCATCCTCGACAATCCAGGAGTTACGCTCACTTAACTCTCGGCACCCCTGGAAATATGTCATAGCAAAATTGAAGGCTCAGTGAACGTGGAGACTAGTTCAATCCTTTAATGCACATAAGAAGAATTTTGCGGTCGCATAACGGCCAACTTGACTGGCTTTGAAGTCGGGTGTCGCACCTCTGTAATCTTCAAAGTACATGTATTAGCCTAGCAATTGGTCAGTTTTTTTTGTAACCTGAGACCAATGAAAAAGAGCCGCGTGCCTTCAATTTTGCTATGACCAGGGGTACAGAGAGCGAAAGTGAGCGTAACCTCTTGAGTATTTAGGATGACCAAAAAAGTGATGCCATGCATAATACAATAAGTGAACGAATGAGCTCAAGAAATATCTTTTTCTGTACTCAACATAAAAGCTAAAAATGGTTGCTTATTTTGGTACAGGACAGTCTTCTTGATATATACATACATGTACCATTTGCTGATATATGTTCCGTATGCTTCAATTATTTCTGCATCCTAGATGCAAGGTTAGAGGAGGTCGTGATGACCTTATGATGGTCCATACATGAAACAAGCACCTGACATCGAAGCTAGAGCTGGTATATGCAAAGAACTAGGAGAGTTGCTAAAAGATAGTTTGAACACACAGATTGACTTTGAGCAAGAAAACAGTCTTTGTGGATACTTACCAGATCGTGCCTACTATTTTGGTACAAATCTGAGAGAAAACAGTATTATGAATATCTTTCTGTCTAACGTCGCTCTGGCAGTGGAATTTGTAGTATCCACCTTGTTCTAATGGTTTGTGAATTAAAGTGTCTATTCAAAAATTCGATCCGTTTTGTATGCAACAGCGTGGTTTTGTAGGGCATTGAATGATTCGCCACTATTTGTTTATGCCATAGTGAAACTGCTTGTTCCGTTGCATGATAAGTCACTTCAGGCGACGTTGGGGACATAGGTTTTGTGTGACAGGAGGTAACTGATACTGCTGGAGAGTCGACACAGATGATTGTGCTGACCCTAGTTCAGGTGAAAACAAGAGCAAACGCTGTTAAACAGATAATCCGCTTAATTTTATTAATTTGTTTATTTTAATATAACAAGTCACATATATTTCATTGATATGTTTCAATGGCTTGAGTTAATACTTCAAAGTGCATTTTATATAATAAACTATTGTTGACCAGTGAATAGGCGCACTTGCGTTTCACCAATGTGTCCAGGGTTCGATCCCCCGATCTTAGATTGTTGAGAATGATTGTGCCAGGCCTTACAAGTGGATGGTTTCAACATACTCGCCATAAGCCACGCTGAACAGTAGCACAGGCAAAACATTGACTGAGAAACAGCAATTAGAGGCAACGAACCCAAACCATTATTGGTAGAAGTCATTGGCACATTCTTATAAAGATAAATAATTTATGATGATATTGATTTTGCCAAATATTTTGAGTTTGTAAGCTTGAATTTTATTTTAATAAGTACAAGCTAACTGTCCTATTTTCTGTATGGTCCGGTTAACACTGTAGTAAGGTAACGCCTACACAAAATGCTGCTGTGTGTTAGCACTTAATAACACAAAAGCTGGAATGTGGTTTGTCTGTGTATTTCCCAATTTTTATATAAAAAGTATGTGATTTCATTATGTTATTGGTACTTAGAGTGAAATAAGAATCCTTTCTCGTGTAGATAGCACCAATCTATAACACATTATCACAGAAAAAAAGACTGATGCAGCATATTCTACCAATAAACTGTGATATTTGTTTTGTGAATAGAAAGCAAAAGATGTACAAATTTTACCTAGGCCATGTGGTTAAGTATGAGGTAGCGTGTATATACAGTGTTTTTTGCAGCAGTGCTATTTTTGCCAGTTTAAACAGCAGCTTAAATAACTGGTGGATGTATAGTAATTTTGCACAAAGATCAGATTTTGTTGTCATAGGAAAATGGAAGATCTTACTGTATAAACTTCAGTATGTGTTACTTAATTAGAATTGTCCAGAATAACTTCTGAACAATTATCACATTTCAATTAGACTTGGTGTGTGATTAGAACCTTATTGATTTAGGCATAGTCAAGTCAAAGGTCAAGGTCACTGAATTCACTTAACAAATTGGTACCTGTTCATGCAGATGGGCATGGTGATGTCAAAGGTCAAGGTCACTTACATGCAGATGTTAACCCCTAAATGAATAATCGCAGAGAGGTCAAACTTTCTATGTGGGTTCCCCTAGGAGATCTCTTTTGACTATGGGCAATGTCAAAGGTCAAGGTCACTGATTCTGAAAAATATAAGTTTCTATTTCTTGTCTGTATGCTATCTTCAAAACGATTGTACCCAGCTTGACTTTGCATGTGGGTTTCTCAATGGATGAGGTAAAACCCTATTGATGTTGGGCATGGACCATGAAAGGTCAAGGTCACTCTTATTGCATAGAAATGTGTCCTACCGTAACTTTAGACCAAATGAATCCATAAAGCTCAATCAGGGTTGTTATAGAGGTTGTCTAGAAGCTGACTTTGAGGTAACAACTTCTAACTATAAGTACACTAGCAACCGTCCTCCTAACGAAAATCATGTATGCACCAACAACAAATGTGGTTCTGGTAGCGTTTAAAGAGGAGAAGATGGGCTGCCCCTGGTGGCTCTTTTGTTAGTAAAGTCATAGTAAATACCAAACAATGATGAACTCGCCAAGCTCCAGAAACAGCTGTATACAGAAACACAAATTATATAAACTTGTTACATTCATATATCACATCAAACCAAATCCAATCCAATAAGGACAAGCAGCCACCTTCAATGGACATTTAATTCTCCCTATTCATAACTCCAAACCAAAACCTGTAGTTATAGTCATACAAAACACACATGTATGGAATGATAATTAGTGTAAACCAAAATATAGTATATCTGGATATCACATGAAAAGAATTGCAAAAAATATCATATGAAATGTTGGTTTTATGATAAATAGGTACACACATTGTAAACTTTGTACCCAGAACTAGGACCAAAGCATAGGGTTTCTGAACTCATTAATTACAAATGTGAATGACCCTTCACCACCTCCTCAAAAGTTCATCAGTTTTGTGATTGCAACAGTTCTGAAACTAATTTTAGAAAAAGTGAAGGACAACAAAACTGAATCTAACACAGGTTTAATAATGAAACGGTAAGAAATATGATTCAGTTGAAGTATATTTCCTGGCAAACACATAAATTTGAGAATGGTATATGCTGGCCATCAATAACATCACTGGAAGGAGGTAGGTGCACTGTTTAGATATAACTGGAAGGAGGTAGGTGCACTGTTTAGATATAACTGGAAGGAGGTAGGTGCACTGTTTAGATATAACTGGAAGGAGGTAGGTGCACTGTTTAGATATAACTGGAAGGAGGTAGGTGCACTGTTTAGATGTGTGTATCACAATGGTTTTCAGAGACAGATTGATAAAGAGCGTTCAGAGTCAACAGAGAGCTTTTAACAGATAGATATCCAATGGCCGGTTGATAATGTGACAACAGGGTGTGTGTTAGGCTGTTGATATTTGAATGTGATATTGGGGCCTGTTTTTTTATGTGGAACAACATTTTTCGGATATAAATCCTGGTGGATTAGGCTCGCTGGAAAGCAGCATCAGATTACTAGGTCCAACCTTATGTCATAAACGGACAACTCCAGTCAAACCCTAGTGATAAGGAAAGCTGCTGGATTAGCACCTCACATAGAAGGTTTCTTTCTTTCTGCAAATTTCTGATGCAAATTTAGTTTTGTACACTGTCAAATATAGTCATCTTCATTAGATATAACAAAATAAAAAATCAATGGATGGCAATAACTTCATATGACTCAAGAAAAACTTCTAATCTTTTTCTGGTCAAACATGCTAGCTCTCTCACACAAATATTAACCTCGCATACATCATACATCTATCATAGATTAATAGCTTACCCCATTCATAACGACTCACATGCTACATTAATATCATTTTTTACCTTACTATCTATGGTACATGTATTTTAAAGCAGTTATATTTCTAGTTTTACTTTCAATATAGTATTGATGGTTTGATCACACTCCCCAAATTCAAAAGTCCCATTACATATTTGCCAAGATTATAAAAATCAACAGAAATAACCATCAAATAAAGTGTATTTGCAGAACTTTAAAGGAATCTGAGCCTACCATAATGAAAGAGCTACACAGAATGGATTGCCATCTAAAGCAGCTGTGGTCCTATGGCAACCGTTCTCATATTAACTAAATTAATTTTGTTCAGATTCAAATTTCTAGGCTGGCAATGATACTACAAATTATTTGGTATATTATGCAACTTCTGACTAAATTGTTATGATTGTATTGTCTAAAATATTGTCTTTTCCTCTTTTTACAATAACTCGTTACAACAAACAAGTTACATACATAATTGTATAAAAGTCTAATCTTATCTCAAAAATATTTCTTAAACATAAAATTTACCTTATCTTATCCAAAAAATATTTCTTCAACATAAAATTAGCCAAATCTTATCTGAAAAATATTTCTTAAACATAAAATTTACCTTTTCTTATCTCAAAAATATTTCTTCATCATAAAATTTACCTTATCTTATCTCAAAAATATTTCTTAAACATAAAATTTAGATGCCTTAAAATTTTTAAGAGTGCACTAAAAGAGGATGGAACAAATAAGAAAATTGTGCTGCCAATTATCAAATGATCAAATTTCAAGAGTATTTATGGATATCCCTTCATGAAAGGACAGGCGAGCTCTATTTGGTCCAACACATTGTCTTGCATTGTAAGTTAAAGCTAGTTTTATCACATATCATGTTCATGTTAAGATCATAAATAATTAGACGACCTGACACATGGAATGCATGGTTAATGAACTTATAACAGTGTTCTTGTCATTCACAACACAATGGCACAAAATAAAATAAAAGATTTTAAAATATTTCTCAAATTAGTACTGTACACGAATTGAACTCAACCAATGGAATAACAATGTAATGAGCAGGTGTACCCTTGGTATGATGGATACTTGTGTTTCATTGGTCGAATTCCTGTCACAATTCAGCTACAGAAATAAATATTTCACTAAGGTAATGAAAGCTCTATCAAAAGAGCAGTTTCCATAAGCAAACTTAAATAGATTGATTGAAAACACTAAATATAATATAAATCACAAATCAAATGAGACGGAGAACTCTGCTGTCCAAAGTTCAGGTTTTCAGACAAGTTAGAAACTGTATATGTCTTTAATAAAGAGACAGTTATTTTTGTTGCACCTTTTCTGGTAACTTTAATTATTTCTAACAAAATCTGTTCTTTATCGAAATTTAGAAACACATTTTCACTTTTTGTATTTTTATCTAAAACTCATTTGAGTCTAAAATGAAAACCTGTCAGAACTCTTGAATGTTTCCAAACAGTTACTGCGCTTTCCTAAAAGCACCCTCACTGATAACTATGGCAACTTCATTAGGACATACACAGCAGACAAATTACAGTGTCATGGTTTAATTTTTCTTCTCTCCACGGAGAAAATAGATATAGTGACTGCAGCCCATTGCGATCTTTGGGTGAAGACCCTGACGGTCATTGTCCACACAGTACACCCCCTGGGGCAGCTCCACAAACTGACCAGTCGTCTGAAAGGATAAACAGGTCAAGGTCAAAGATACAAATGTGTCATGGTGGAAATTCAAGTACAATTGCCCAAACACATTTCAATGTCAATCATATCAATGTCAGTCAGAGGAAAACGTGTCATATATGCTCATCATTTAGATAAAACAAATCAAAGGAAAACATGTCAAGGTCAGTCAACAAAGGGTTCATGGACAAGAGCCCAGGCAAACAGGTCAAGGAGGGATTCTTTTTAGAGAAAAACAAAGGAAACCATCTGACGAATAAAGTCGAAGACATTATTTACAGAAAAGCAAAGATTTTATGCTTAATGACATACAAAGTAAGCTAATTTATTATCTGCAAATAAAATATAGCTCAAAGTTGATGCTGGACAAACCAGACAGGAACTATTTCATACATCACAGTTTTGCCACACTTAGGTTAACAGCTTCACACTTCCTGAGTAAATGATGCTGAGTTTTAGCAGTTTGTCCATAACTTACGTTCAGTGTGCCGCGGTCAATAATTCTGGCCATATGCATCAGTGACCCACCAGCTATAATACTGTCCTTTCCCAGCCACTGGCAGCAGTTCACCTATAACATAACAGTATAGTACCATGTCTGAAACACTTCATGACTGCGTAACAGTAGTCAAATGTTCAAAACACTTCATGTATAAAATCTATTAAATATAAGAAGTGGCTTATTAACCAAAACCTGACAAGTATAGACTGATAAAATACAGACATGGTGGTGCAAGCAAAAACATGAATGTGTTAGGTAGATATTTTCAGTCATTGAAGTTAAGTTTATTAAACTCATTATTTTGACATTTTGATAATACATGTAACAAGATCTAAATGTCAACATGTATCAGACGAACATTTTGACATGCATCAGACTTTAATGTTGACGTGTATCAGACTCATATGTTGACATGTATCAGATCGACTCATACGTTCTCATGTATCAGACTCATATGTTGACATGTGTCTGACTCATATGTTGACATGTGTCTGACTCAAATGTTGACGTGTATCGGACTCAAATGTTGACATGTATCGGACTCATATGTTGACATGTACCAGACTGACATGTTGACATGTACCAGACTGACCTGTTGACATGTACCAGACTGACATGCTGACATGTACCAGACTGACATGTTGACATGTACCGGACTGACATGTTTACATGTACCAGACTGACATGTTGACATGTACCAGCCTGACATGTTGACATGTACCAGACTGACATGTTGCCATGTACCAGACTGACATGTTGACATGTACCAGCCTGACATGTTGACATGTACCAGACTGACATGTTGACAGGTACCAGACTGACATGTTGACATGTACCAGACTCACATGTTGACATGTACCAGACTGACATGTTGACAGGTACCAGACTGACATGTTGACATGTACCAGACTGGCATGTTGACATGTACCAGACTGACATGTTGACATGTATCAGACTCATGTGTTGATGTGTATCAGACTGACATGCTGACATGTATCAGACTGACATGTTGACACACACCAGAGGAACATTTTGACAATTATCAGAATTACATGTTGACACATACCAGACTCACAAGTTGACACATACAAGAGCGACATGTTGACATGTACCAGACGAATGTTTTGACATATTCCAGACTGACATGTTGACATGTACCAGACTGAAAATTTGCCATACAGCAGACTGATATGTTGACATATTCCAGACTGACATGTTGACATGTACCAGACTGACATGTTGACATGTACCAGACTGACATGTTGACATGTATCAGACTGACATGCTGACATGTATCAGACTGACATGTTGACACACACCAGAGGAACATTTTGACAATTATCAAAATTACATGTTGACACATACCAGACTCACAAGTTGACACATACAAGAGCGACATGTTGATATGTACCAGACGAATGTTTTGACATATTCCAGACTGACATGTTGACATGTACCAGACTGAAAATTTGCCATACAGCAGACTGATATGTTGACATATTCCAGACTGACATGTTGACATGTACCAGACTGACCTATCACTGTTGACACTTACCAGACAACTGCTACACTGACATGTTCACACTTACCAGACTGGCATTTAATGGCTCTGGGGGCACATCCTTAATAAATTTCCCTAAAGGAAAGTCCCAAATCTGAAAATGAATTGTTTATCAGGTTTAAAAACAATATCAAACAAGTATTCCCTATTGGTAAAAATAAAAGTTTGCATTTTATTATATTATGAAACAAGCAAATTCATGGAATGTATATCCCCTGCTTTCAGGACAAATTGTAGGTAAACATTATTGAGGTTTGGTTTAAACATGTGAGTATCGTGCTGTTGAGACATAATGTATAGCTTGAAACCCGAAGAAAAAAAAGCCTTATCTAATATTTGCTAGAGTTATTAAGCGGAAACTGCAAATAATGACTCTGCCAAATGGAGTCCGATTAAAGTGGTTGTCAAACTTGGCCGAGCCCTTAAGACATTTAACCATGTGACCAATTTTGAAGAAAATCAGTTAACATTTGTTATACTTATTGCATGGAAACGAAGTGCAGCATATAATGACGTTTTTCGTTATTCAAGGGGCCATAACTCCACCAAATGGGGTCCGCTGAAAGCGGTCATCGAACTTGGTCGAGCCCCTAGTTGTAGTTATTGCAAGGAAATGAAGCATGACAGACAGACAGACAGACAAACCCCAATTAATGTCCCTGTTTTGGTGAAGGAGGGAGGGGGGGGGGGGGAATAATCTTAAATCCAGTGCTTTAATCCAAATGAAAAGGTTTTTAAGTCAACAGTGTTTAAGTGGCAGCTAATATTGCTAGAAAGCCGACCTCAATGAATATAGAATTATAATGATGAATACACTAAGAGTATTGTATTTTTGTAAGTACTTATACATGTAATTCATGGAAGACCAATATATTTTGAATTTGTATGTAATGTTATGCAAAGCTGTAATGTTCAAATATTGCAGTAGCATGAAGCTGACACAAGACATGATAGAGATTAGTTAGTGCAATATCATTGTTACTGATCAGACCACATAGGAACCTGTTGAAGCCAGAAATCCAAAACCAAAACGTTGTTGCCTTAATGACAATTTTTTCCCTTGATTGACATTCTATTATGCAAATAATTATTTATGTAAATAGTTTGATTATCCTTCAGACAGAAACTTGGATTACCCTGATACAGGCCGACAATGTACCCTGATACAGGCCGACAATGTACCCTGATACAAGCCCACAATGTACCCTGATACAGGCCCAAAATGTACCCTGATACAGGCCCCAATGTACCCTGATACAGGCCCCCAATGTACCTTGATACAGGCCCCCAATGTACCTTGATACAGGCCCACAATGTACCCTGATACAGGCCCACAATGTACCCTGATACAGGCACCAATGTATCCTGATACAGGCCCCCAATGTACCCTGATACAGGCCCCCAATGTACCTTGATACAGGCCCCCAATGTACCCCGATACAGGCCCACAATGTACCCTGATACAGGCCCACAATGTACCCTGATACAGGCTCAAAATGTACCCTGATACAGGCCCACAATGTACCCTGATACAGGCCCACAATGTACCCTGATACAGGCCTCCAATGTAGAGTACCTGTAGAGCATTGTCCTTCCGCCAGGAACCAGTCAGGATGTGATTGTGCTCTGCGTCAATGTCCAGGGAATCTCCACAAATATGTGGGCCGTGGAAATGTCTGAAATATCAATAACAGTGAGCAATTTAAGTTTTCATATTCATGAATTAACAAAACAGCCACACTATAACTGTTTTAACTATACTATTGAATGTATATTTTAATAATGGAATGACAATATAAATGTTGCGACCAATTAATAAAGAGGCCATGACAGTTAAACTAGAATTCATATTTGAAAAAAAATCAATCAAACAAAAAAACTTGATAGCCCTACACCACATGCACTGCAAGCTATGTGTCAAAAACTAGAAAAAAAAGGCTTGTAAATGGGAAATCTAGCTGTTACAAGTCTCCATATCAAATAATTTTCAGTGAGATTCACAAAGGTCAGATTGGATTGTTTGCGATACATTAATTTTTATTCAAATGTAAAATCAACCATAATGGTACAACTGCACATTCAATGGATAATTTGACTGGAAATAAAATAAAAACATCATTTTGTCTTCGTCTTGAATTATTCTCTGTGATATGTCTCAAAGGACAATGTAACATGTTACGTACTGGAAGTTTATAGGAAGGCATCATTACAACTTTGAATGGAAAAAAGTTATGTTCATCATAGGTTCTGCATGATCCAGTAATCATAACTCTGACAGTGGATAAGCTTAACATTCGGTGAGAGATCATGATCCACTAATCATAACTCTTGACAGTGTATAAGCTTAACATTCGGTGAGAGATCATGATGCACTAATCATAACTCTGACAGTGGATAAGCTTAACATTCGGTGAGAGAACATGCTCCACTAATCATAACTGACAGTGGATAAGCTTAACATTCGGTGAGAGATCATGATCCACTAATCATAACTCTTGACAGTGTATAAGCTTAACATTCGGTGAGAGATCATGATGCACTAATCATAACTCTGACAGTGGATAAGCTTAACATTTGGTGAGAGATCATGCTCCACTAATCATAACTCTGACAGTGGATAAGCTTAACATTCGGTGAGAGATCATGATCCACTAATCATAACTCTGACAGTGAATAAGCTTTACATTCGGTGAGAGATCATGATCCACTAATCATAACTCTTGACAGTGGATAAGCTTAACATTCGGTGAGAGATCGTGATCCACTAATCATAACTCTGACAGTGGATAAGCTTAACATTTGGTGAGAGATCATGATCCACTAATCATAACTCTGACATTGGATAAGCTTAACATTCGGTGAGAGATCATGATCCACTAATCATAACTCTGACATTGGATAAGCTTAACATTCGGTGAAAGATCATGATCCACTAATCATAACTCTTGACAGTGTATAAGCTTAACATTCGGTGAGAGATCATGATCCACTAATCATAACTCTGACAGTGGATCAGCTTAACATTTGGTGAGAGATCATGATCCACTTATCATAACTCTGACAGTGGAGAAGCTTAACATTCAGTGCGAGATCATGATCCACTAATCATAACTCTGACAGTGGATAAGCTTAACATTTGGTGAGAGATCATGATCCACTTATCATAACTCTAACAGTGGAGAAGCTTAACATTCAGTGCGAGATCATGATACACTAATCATAACTCTGACAGTGGATAAGCTTATCATTCGGTGAGAGATCATGATCCACTAATCATAACCCTGACAGTGGATAAGCTTAACATTCGGTGAGAGATGATGATCCACTAATCTTAACTCTGACAGTGGATAAGCTTAACATTCGGTGAGAGATCAAGATCCACTAATCATAACTCTGACAGTGGATAAGCTTAACATTCGGTGAGAGATCATGATCCACTAATCATAACTCTGATAGTGGATAAGCTTAACATTCGGTGAGAGATCATGCTCCCCTAATCATAACTCTGACAGTGGATAAGCTTAACATTCAGTGAGAGATCAAGATCCACTAATCATAACTCTGACAGTGGATAAGCTTAACATTCGGTGAGAGATAAGTAACAGGCACTTACCTGACTGAGTGTCGTTCTCTATCATCCCAGTACTGAAAAAATCAGAAAACATGTAATTGCAAAGGCACAACTGTATACAATAGTCAACAAAAATTTTCAATTTCGGACTAAATTAGTACAACACATATATAAGTTTGTTGAATCTCACCTTCATTTTCTGCTAAACTACCAGGCTCGTAAAGGATTGCATTTTTAATACAATTTTCAATAGAAAAAGATAAATCTATCACCAAATAGACTGACTTGGATGTTGAACGACTGCACAAGACCGATTGTGGGATATCGGAGTTTGGGATGGTGCCTCACTAGACATTCCCAAGGCTTTATTTTATAAAATCTGATCAAAAAACCTCTTGGAACCTCATACTTTTCTCTGTATTTATCTCCTAAAAAACACATGAATAAAATACTAACAAGGACTAATTTATCCTGAAGGGCTGGCAGGGCCCCGGAGATAATCATGGTAGCACTAGTGTCAGTCTTCATGCCTAGTAATTATGTTAGCAAATGTATAATGGTATGCAGTGGGAATCAACTGTTTCCATGTTATGACCCAGGGAATAAGTCCTCAGTGGCAGGGGCAGACTTCAGGCAAATCCTTGAACAGTAACATGACAGTGTTTGTCTCCTCGTGCCCAGCAATCAGAAGGTATGTGGTTATAGGGTGGGGATCTCAACCATTTCTAAATTATTTCTAGCTTTGTCTCAGCCCCCTTGGAGGGTCATTCCCTCCATTTGTACATTTTTGGATGATCACTAACAGTACCTGTGTATGTATGCTTCCAATCAAATATGATTGATATCCATAGCATAGTTAAAGAGGAGAAAAGCAATATGGCCAACCTTCCTTTTTTATAGTCAGCCCCTCCATTTACTTGAATCCTTACCACCTGAGGCTGCTTACTCCTATATATGGTTGATATCCATCACATAAGCCCATAAATTGCTTTAAACATTAGAGTCAAATAACACTTTTTGGCCCTTCGGCCCCTCCATTTGTACATTTTTAATCCCAATCACATGAGGATACAAGCACCAACTCTGGTTGATATCTCATATCTCATAGTCAAAAAAAAAGTTATGTTAAAAGCCAGATGGTCAAATTGACTAATTTTTTCCCAGACCCTCACCTCCCTGGGGGTCAGTTCCTCTAATTGTACACTTTTTGATCCCCTCTACCTATGGATGTTGCACATCAATTGATATGAAATTTGATTCAATAACCAGAAGAATGAATGGTTTGATTTTTTTTTGACTGACGAAGGTCACTGTACGGCATATGCTAACCTTGGTCCTTCAGATCAGATGAGCTTACAACATGGAGTTTTTAAGGACCCCTGCCCCACTGCAGGCAAGACACTAGAGACTTCCACTGTAGTTTTTTCATGTATATACAGTTATCTACCCTTAATTTAGTTTTGGGTAGAACCATAGTGAAATTTGGCCACAGAAATTCTGTTGAGCTGGTATAGCGAGAGTATAACACTTTGAGGTTCTAGCCTTGCTGAACTTTTACACTCAGAACACTTGTTGATTACATATTTTTGAACATAGCATCTTTAACTCTTGTTTTTCCCCCTGAAGTCTGCAATTTGGGTGGCTGTGTACAGCAATATTTACCTGTATTGTGTCGTCCCAGCCTCCAGTGATAAATACATGGGGAGTAGTTGGATGGTATATAGCTGAGAAAACTCGTTCTCTATGTCCATCCATAAGTCTGTTTGAGTCACTGGAAGCAAATAAGAAATTCACTCATCTAATTCATTTTTCTCTGAAAGTAACAGACATTTTCATATTTGTAACAAACTTTTAAAAACGAGTGATAGTTGGAGTATGTTTATGTTATGTTCCAATTACCCATCCAAATGATTTATTTTTACAGGCTATTTCAGAAATTTGATTCATACTTTGGACAAGAGGCCTACAGGGCCTGTATTTAAACAATTTTCTCAATAATAATACATATGATCATGGGGTTGAGAAGTGTTTCCATGCTATGACCCAAGAGCTTAGTTACAAAGGGCTGGCCTTGACCAAGAGACCAATCATAATAGCAAATTTGAGTAATGTTTGTCTCTTCAGGACTAGAAATTGTATGTATGGCTATAAAGTGAATGCGAATCTCAAAGGTCTCCATGTTCCAGGTACTAAGGCACCAGGGGAAAAATGGTAAGTGGATGATGGACACTGCACCACGGCATAAGATCGGTAATTGGCCCTTGGTAGACCTGCATCCTTTCAATTGTATGCAATTAGTAAATATGTACCATGAAATAAAATAGGATTGTAAGATTTACTGCCCCCACAACTTCATACACTATTTAACGTGTTGCAAATTTTCACGTTGCAAATCAAAGTCTAGTTCTAGTTCTAAATATTAATAAATCTCAAGCAACAATCAAGCCAAGTACTTCTGATGAATATTCATGATCAATAACAGTAATAAATTTCCACCTTGCTTGGAGAGTGTTGATTTTCGTTTTGGTTTCCTCATCGTACACGTGGATCTGTTCGTCGGCTCCAGCAGTAACAAAGCGTCGCCCTAGTGGACTGATAGCGAGGGCTAAGGTCTGTCGTACCTCGTGTATGGTGTGTAGGCATGACTGGGATGTGTAGTGCCAGACCTTTACATCGCCAGAGGCATCTGTCACACAACAGGCCATATAGTTAAATATCAAACTGTCATACAACAGGTCATACAGCTAAATATCAAACTGTCATACAACAGGCCATACAATTAAATATCAGACTGTCATACAACAGATCATACAGTTAAATATCAAACTGTCATACAACAGATCATAGTTAAATATCAAACTGTCATACAACAGATCGTACCTTTAAATATCAAACTGTCATACAACATGCCATACAGTTAAATATCAAACTGTCATACAACAGGCCATACAGTTAAATATCAAACTGTCACATGACAGATCGTAGTTAATTATCAAACTGTCATACAACTGGCCATACAGTTAAATATCAACTCTGTCACACAACAGATCATACAGTTAAAAACCAAGCTGTCATACAACAGATCATACAGTTAAATATCAAACTGTCGTACAACAGGCCATACAGTTAAATATCAAACTGTCATACAACAGATCGTACAGTTAAATATCAAACTGTCATACAACAGGCCATACAGTTGAATATCAAACTGTCATACAACAGGCCATACAGTTATATATCAAACTGTCATACAACAGGCCATACAGTTAAATATCAAACTGTCACACAACAAATCGTAGTTAAATATCAAACTGTCACACGACAGATCGTAGTTAAATATCAAACTGTCATACAACAGGCCATACAGTTAAATATCAAACTGTCATACAACAGATCTACAGTTAAATATCAAACTGTCATACAACAGATCATACAGTTAAATATCAAACTGTCACACAACAGGCCATACAGTTAAATATCAAACTGTCATACAACAGGCCGTACAGTTAAATATCAAACTGTCGCACAACAGATCATAGTTAAATATCAAACTGTCATACAACAGATCATACAGTTAAATATCAAACTGTCATACAACAGATCGTACAGTTAAATATCAAACTGTCATACTGCAGGCCATACAGTTGAATATCAAACTGTTATACAACATGCCATACAGTTAAATATCAAACTGTCATACAACAGATCATAAAGTTAAATATCAAACTGTCATACGACAGGCCATACAGTTAAATATCAAACTTTCATCCAACAGATCATACAGTTAAATATCAATCTGTCATACAACAGATCATACAGTTAAATGTCAAACTGTCATACAACAGGCCATACAGCTAAATATCAAACTGTCATACAACAGATGATACAGTTAAATATCAAACTGTAATACAACAGATCATACAGTTAAATATCAAACTGTCATACAACAGATCGTACAGTTAAATATCAAACTGTCATACTGCAGGCCATACAGTTGAATATCAAACTGTCATACAACAGGCCATACAGTTAAATATCAAACTGTCATACAACAGATCATAGTTAAATATCAAACTGTCATACAACAGGCCATACAGTTAATTATTATCCCTTTGAGAAAAATCTAGGAATGTGATTGGTTAAAAACTACAGTGTACCAATGCAAACCGCATTCGTAAATCTCAGGGGGTTAACGAAAATCTCAGGGGGTATACGGTCATGTCACGTGATTCTCAGCAGTAACACGGTGGAATCACATGATTTTACAAGGGGTATACGGGTCACGTGTCTTTGTATCTTGCGGCCGGGCAACGGGAGACAACTCTCATTCGACGTCTGCTTCGCTGTTTACAAAATGGCAAAACGTTTCGCTTCGCATACTGATGAGGAAAAACTCAAAGAGGTAATAAATTTGTTACACAGATTTTTGGCAGGGTATACGCGATGATATGACCCTACAGGATTTCGTATTTCCTGAGGCCGATAGGGTTAGGGTCATACCATCCTGTATACCCTGCCAAAAATCTGTGTAACTAATAATATCAAACTCTGTCATACAACAGTCCATATAGTTTAATATCAAACTTTTTACTGAACAGACAAATTTTGATTTAGATGAATTTTGAGAAATACTTCAGATTAGCTTTATGAATAACAAATAACTATTGTATAGCAAGTTATAATGTTTATAGCTAGAACATTAGTGAGTCCCAAGCATGAACTCGCATAAATATTTTAAGATGTTTCGGGTCCATTGATACATAGATTTGTTTTAATCAAATTTGATATGTAGGAAATATATGATTTAATGCCTTGTTACAGGCACTCTGTCTGCTGATATACCTGTATACGTAATTCTTATCATTCAGGTAAACACTAGTTGATACCTACATGTAGCTATGAGCATATTTTGATATTCAATTTTGTCACTGTCTCCAAATATCCTGAATCGTATCTGTGTGACCGGGAGGCGTATCTTCTGTGTATCCTCATCAGCCAGGCTATATAATAGTCTGTGGTGTGTTGCCTCATATATCTAGGTCAGGGAAAAGAATATTAATTGACATGATGTTGGTGCATATTAACTATATATAGATATAATATTAGCAAATGTAGTTTAATTAAGTGCTCTTTAGAGCTGAATGATTTCTGTAAGCACATTTCTAATTTTGTAATATATTCATGTTTGTCAAAATGTGATTGTATTAAAATGGTGTATTGATCGTAATCCTTAACACCTCTGCCAAATATCAAGCACTTGTTTATCCGTTAAGGTGAGATAAATCCTCTGATCTGAGATTACGGAGTGAATGACTGCACACTTTGGGCAATTAGCCCTACATTAAGTACTTACTCTGATTGTGCCATCCGTGAAACCAACAGCCAGCAGTGACCCATCATGATTAAAACGACAACAAAGCACGTCACTGGGACAATCACTGTAATTAAATAGAACAATACAAGAACATCAATCACAACATTAGGAATAGTTATTGTTGACTAATGTTACGTTTTTTCTTATATAACAATGTGTTTTCATTGGTGCGTGTTTCACAAAATGCCATGTCATGTAATAACATGTGAGTTTGTATCTTAAAGGTCAATTTGTGTCACGGGTCTATGTATGTCAGGACAGTGACATTTGATCAACAAAATATTTTGTAATTCAAAACTTCAATACATGTATGTATTATGATTATAGACGACAAGTCGGATAACACCCACAGGTTGGTACCTTAAATATCAACACAATACTTTCAGGTTTGTATCCTAAAGTCCAATATGTCACACCAAATGGGTAAAGGTCAAATCAGAGTAATGCATGTCCACAGTGTAACTTCAAAGTTACAATATATGCATTATGAGAACATCTGAAAGGAGGTAATTTAACTGGAAGTCAGATTTAAGGCATACTGTATCCATGAATATTAATACCAAATCTAAAAGTCTGTCTTTAATATAAAGTATCCCCTTTGTACCATTACCACAAAATATCAACAAATTCAGCCCAATAGAACTCAAGTTATGACCATGTACAAAGTACATTGTTTCAGCCAATCAGAGATCATAGTCCTTGAGCCATCTGGAATCCCAAAAATTGGAAGTACCGGTAGCCATTTGATGTGAAGTAAAACATGTGTGTATGGATTTCCAGAAAGTTTCTTTGTAGATAATCACATAGTTTTGGAAAAAGCAGGCAATGCTTAAATATGTACAAAAAGGGCAATAACTCTGTAAAGAAAATGTAAAAACCAAAACTGAAATATTTATTTATATTGTGTACAAACTAAGTGCACAGCTACATGATGTACTGATCCGCCATACACAAGTTTCGTTGAAGAAGACCTATACTACTTCAGGATGGATGCAGCAGACGGATGGACGAACAGACCGATTGACAGAGGATCTACCAGCTATATTCCAGTCACTTACCTGATAGCATAGTTCAAGTTGACGGATATAAAAGACGGGTGACTTAAGTCAGCGATCACAAAATGGTGCATTTTCTATTTATTTTGTATATTCATACTAAGTTTAAATAGTGAATATTTTATCTAACTTGAGAAGAACAAAATATGTTGCAATTAAACTGAAGCCCCATCAGCTACATTAATACTGCTATCTAAATGGATGGTGGCTTAAAATGAATGTTTGGATCATTCCTACTGGATGTCATTCTAAAGAAGTAAGAATGTGAAAGGCTAAGGAAGAATGACTGCACGATGAATGAATAAAGGGAGAGTAGAATAACAGGTATAATTAACGAAAGCACACATTTTAATGTGTCTGCATGATCTTGCTGAAAATATGGTATATGTTCCCAATTTGGTGCAATAATGCATTTGGCAATATTTTTTGAACACTTTGACAAAGTTGTTTTGTGGCCTTAACATTTGACATATTGTTTCAAATCTGGTAAAATTCTGTACTATTTTGTCATGAAATAAAAATCTTGATTGCAAAGTGACACAGTGACCTTTTAACATTTGTATATGCATACTTTTTAAAGCTGCTGTCTTAGATGATGAAAAATTACAATTATTTCATTCAATTACTCTGTTGAAAAGTTGATGTTCAAATGTCAATAAAAACTTCATCCCTTCATATTTCGGCACATGCCTCAAACACAGGGGCTCGTTACAAATGTCTGAAATACACATATATATATGCTATACTGATATGGGTCACAACACACATAAACGTTTATGTGTGTTGTGACCCATATCAGTATATATATAGCATATGTGTGTATTTCAGACATTTGTAACATGCCCCTGAGCCTCAAAGTACTATATAAATTCTGTTATACATGCATTAATCTATTCAATTTTCAGCATTCATTGTTATCTAGCACAGTTTGATATAAATGTATACCCTGTATTTTAAATTACCATCTTTATAGAACTGCCCCTATTGGTTGTGTATTTTTTCCTATTAAATGTGCTTAATTTATCTTAACCATGCAATCATATCACATACAGGTATTGTCATTCAAGTGAGTGTAACAATGATTTTTTCATAGGGTTGAAATAGTATTATATTGTTTAGAGGGATCAAATCACCTATATATGCTTAAGGAAAAATATTGATTGCATCTTGTTAACAATACAAAGAAAGCTATATTATGCACAGTAAATATCCGATGTGAATTTTGACAGAAATATAAATCAATGACTGTCATATCATACCCAAGAATAGATTTTGCTAGGCTTGAATTTATAGTCTTATACCAATAGAACTGTCCATTCAGATCAGTTTAATAAATAGACAAGTCTTGTAAAGTCAATTAGTCTGACGTGTCAGCAGAGATTAACTGATGTAATGCCCAGTCAATAGCTGTTGTAAGCCGGGTCAATACATCAATCTGTTAACCCAACAGTCAGCCTTCCTGTGTGTTTACATTTCCACCCTGTATACAGACAACTGGTGCCCGTACACCATTTATATATAATTATAAGGTAATCAGGGTGTTTGTGGTTCATACCCACACACTAGGGGTATAGGCTCTGATAGCTAGCTAGAAGCTGTGCTGTTACCTTAAACAAATGGTCCTGTGTAACTGACCGCAGGAATCTGAACCAGTCAATACACCATTAGATAAACTCAAAAAGAACTCAAATATTCCTTAGTTGCTGTCACTAAACATTAAGAGTTTTAAATGATTGCTTCAGGTAATACATGACAAGTGATACTTGGTAATAACTAGTAATTTTGATAAAACTACAAGAAACAGGCATGTCTGGTGTTTTTTAAGTAACACTATAACACTATAGTTAATAGACATTGTGTAGTGGGTGATACATGAATCCCTAACAACTCAAATTATCTCAATATTAGACCAGTGATACTTTTAATAACGGTACATGTATAGGCTTATGTGATAAGTTAATACGTCTTACCTCAAAACAACAATTAAATGCTTACAAGGTTCTTAATGTGTATCAGTTTCAGACTCATTCAATATAGTTACAAATATACATGTACCTAATATCTGATAGTTTGAAATGTTACCATTATATAACTGTACTACAAAAAATAATTTCTGTTGAGGTTTTGCTATAATTCCAATACTGAAAAAAAAAAAATTGAATTATTTTTCATTTAGTATCAAAGAAGTTATGAACTAATTCCATAAATACAGGATTATTAGGGTTGACAATCCCAGTGCTATTTGTGGGTTTTCCAATGAAGAAGAGTTTCATTTTCCTACGGTCATTTGCCCATTTAAATAGCAATAACATTTTTGAAGGAAAAAAATACTTTTATTTTAATTCGCAAAACATCTCAGCCAAGGGGATTTTATCTTTCCTAATGTACTTTACAGTATATGTTAATTTACAAAAATTTGTCCGTTTACAAAATGTGTTTGGCATGTTCTGATGAAAGCCTGTTTATTGGAAAATCAATTTAATTATATGACATGGCTCATCCACCCTCCATGCATGGTCTGAGGCACAATGCACTTGCCTGAACACACTCAAACACTTAACCTAGCTGATGAGTTTGCTGGCTTTGACAAACTGCAATTGTCCAAGAAAATGCAGTTAACATTAGAAATAATATTTAAGAAGTGGATTTCTCAGGTTTTGAAATTAATTTTACACCCTTGATGATTGATTGTAAAGTTTATCCTGTGGAGTTTCAAGTTCCTCGGCGGAAATATTCCCTACTAAATTTTATAATTGCCCAGAATGTTTTTTTGTGCAATGGCCCACTAATACCTAACTACAAATTTGACCTTTTCACCCTTAAAATTGAGAAGGCTCACTTCCGGCTGTCTCAGAGCCCTGTCTGTAAATCATGAACAGCAATTATACTAAACAAAGTAATACAAATGTGAGAAGTAAACAACCTAACTTCCCATACTTACAACAATACAATTTTTTTAATGACATTGACAAACTTGAAGAAAGTGGGATGGGCTTATTACCGGGCATCCAAAGTATCGACAGAAAGTAAGGAAAAGTAGGGGTGGGCTTATTAACAGACATGGGTTTATCACCGGAAAAAAGTCCTCTATAGCCCCGTTTTAATTGCACATAATACACAGAAACAGAAAGTCTACTGTTTTTTTACGAAAAACACAATAATTAAGGTGACAGTACCAGTGACAGTGCGAATGTCGGGACCCAAATCAGATCACGGCATGAATTTTGCAGTATCATACGCTTAAAATGAATATTTTTTGTCAGCATATTAATATTCTATGATGACCTTTAGAATTTATGTGACAAAAAGTATTTCTATAGTGTGAATTTATTCCTATAGTCCAAACCATAGTGCATAGTCGTTGCACGCGCCATTTTTTAAAAACGTAATCAAAACATGGACATTTGAGTTTGAATTACGTTTTCTTGCGCTATTTGAACTTAAAAACTAATTATCTGTAGTCAAAAAATGGTGCATGGTATCTATTCTAAGACAACATCATTGTTATAACTGATTTGTTGACACATTTATTTGTTTATAAGTATTTTTGCAAAAAGTGAACCGATTTGGGTACCGATCCGATTTGGGTACTGCCACCTTATACTGAATTTTGCTACTTTAGCATTGCCAGCAATGCCAGAATTTTAAATTTATAAAAGTTGTCTGGACTGGAGAGTCAATTTAATGTCTAATTTCAGACTTCAGTGCATATTAGCAATTCAATATAATTATCGTTTCACGTTTGTTCGTAAAAACAGTAGACTTTTTGTTTCTGTGTATGTGCAATTAAAACGTGGCTATATAGGATCTAGCTGTGTTCGTTTTTAATCAACAAATAGATCAGGTTACATTCACGTAGTCCAGCTGACGACACTTGTTTGCATTGCCTCTGGCTCAGTCTTGTCTTGGCTCAGGCCTCTGCTATTATGTTATGAACAGTACAAAATTTGTTTTTCTTTTTAAAATAGTTTGTATGTGTATGCAAGCGGCGATATACTCACATTGTATCCAGCAGCTTGAGATTGCCGTCAATGAAAGGACCGCCTTTAGTCTGCTGGGCATGGTCTCCGTAACCTGAAGTTGTTGACATTCCGCTTCGCGGCCTTTCGACTCGTTGCTGCATGCCTTTTCTTCAGTGTCGGTCAATGACCGCCGACGAATATATTTAATAACTCTGTCCACTTAATTACCTTCGATATGTTTAAGTTTTAACTCCCACAATTTCCCGTTTATTGCTTCAGAGCACAACTCGCATCAACTCGTCACCTTGCCTGCATGTAAACGTTGAAGATTCGCACGTAATTCAGGCGAAGTTTTGATTGGGTCAAAACTAACAATGGAACTCTCTATAGTGAAGATAATTTATTCAATAAAATGGCGGCACCCGCGAAAAGAACGTGTGAAGACCACAGCAATGTTTCCTCAAAGATCTCAACTGTTTCTAGGGATGAAACGAAGTTGGAAGACTTTCTAAGCTGGACAAGTGAAAACAAGCTTTGGCTTTCTCCAAAGGTGGGTAAATGTCACGCTTTCAATTCGCAAACGAGGGTACATTAATTTAAGCTCATCACAGTTTTAGCGCTGATAAAAAACAATGAAGTACATTTGTACACAAGAAAAATGATCTATTCTGATGTCTAACTTTTTTTGTGAAAATGACAAACACTATCACTGACGTTGTGTGTTGTCCTTGGGAGCACTAATTGCAAATGAACATGTGAGGTCGTTAGGGACTTTTTTCGGGTTTTTCGGGACATTTCAAAAGTAGTTTCGTGATTTTTCAATTTCTGTAGATACCATTACCTAATTATATGTAAATTTTCAAGTTTATTGTACAAATTCTAAGTATTGTTATGCACCAATCTAATAACAAAGAAATGTTTCTCAACCTCTCTAAATCCTTGGTACGTCCATACCTTGAAATTAATGTCACCACATGCTAACCTATACTGAAAAAAGACCAACTCTCCTTAGAGAATGTTCAAAGAAGGGCAACCAAACTAGTTCCATCCCTTAAAGAGCTCTCGTACCTTGAGCGTATCTGTCCGCTAGGGCTACCATCAATTGAATACAGAAGACTAAGATCTGACAATGTAGAAATCTATAAGCTGATAAACACCATAGATATAACCAACCAACAAACCATCCCTGCCTTCGACAACCTCAATACGAGGGGAAACTCAAAATAAATGAAAAAAAAATCGGTACAAGACCAACATTAGGGGACATGCTTTTAAAAATAGAATTGTAAATAATTGGAATCAACTCCCTACAATTGTGGTAGATTCCCCAACCTTAAATGTTTTTAAATCTAGACTCAATAAACATTGGGTAAACCATCCAATCAAGTTTTTACCATCGTGCTACTAATATGTAATATAAGTATATACGCGTCATCTGCACAACCTGTAAATATATGAACAATTATGAAGAAGCGTCAACAGAAGCAATACTATGCTTACGAAGACGTCGACCACCATGAACCATGAACCAATAACGATCTAACTTCTTTGCTATTGGGCGCCAATATGTCAAGTCAAGTCAATTTTATGTAAAAGTCGGTAGAGTAAGGGTACATGATTTTGTACAGGACGTGATTTCGTACACTAAATATTTTTTTCTTATTTTTTAACCGATCACTTTCGATTGAGGCATAAAATTGCTCCAACAGCAAACCACCGCTATTGTCCTTCTTCGTTGATGCTAAATGTAGATTTCCCAAATAACCTCGTTTTCAAAACGAAACTAGCGAGTCGAGCTGTCGTTTGCAGAATGGGCCCAATGTAACTTTAAAACATTATTTAAAACAGAATCTAGCCAATTTTCTTGTGATCACTTTGAGATCATTTAACTAAAACAATATTTTACCATTTGCATCAAGAGATATTAAAAAGAAGCTCAAATATGATAACGGCATTTACCTTCACCTTTTTCTACACAAGTGTCTAGCACTGGACTTGTAGTACCACCTATTCTTACACATTGCTTTCTGTTGGAGAGATAGCTCCTGATAAGCTCCACAGTGGCATCTCCCAACCCATACGCTCCCAGCTTATCCAATAGGAGTTCAGACGGTACACAGTCAAATGCCTTGGACAGATTCATCAGAATGGCAACATACATTGAAAATACCGCTGAAGTAGCCCTCAAGTTGCTCAACCATAGACCTTTCAAAGGTTTGGAAATAGTCGGTAAAATGCTCACTGGTCTATAGTTCTTTTTACTTAAAGGGTTCTCCTTTTTAGCTCGCCTATTCGAAGAATAGGGGGGCTAATGTAGTCACCCCGGCGTCGGCGTCCCTCCTTCCGTGGTTAAAGTTTTGGTGCAAGTTTTTTCCAGACAGTGTTGGATCATCACACTCAATACACAGTTGTCTATTATGAGTTTAAGTCATTTATATCGAGTGTAAGCAATGTGCTGGAACATAATTATATATTTTATGGCCCAAAAACAGCTTAATTGGACTTAGTTAAATTTGAGGTTAAAGTTTTTGGCAAGTTTTGTTGGGTAGTGTTGGACCACCACCATCAATAGGCTGTTGTCTATTATAAGGTTGAAGTATTTGTATTGATCATGAGTGTAAGCAATGTGTTGAACCATATTTTCATATTTTAGCGTCCAAAAACAGCTTTATTGGACTTTGTTAATTTCTTAACAATCACTTCACATAGATGTTTCTACACATTTACCAGTCCTTGAAATTCTGGTGGTAAGTGACGTGGCAAATAAAATGACAGGCACTATATCAACGTTTTACTATACGGTAAACCTCCGGTCAGTTCGAATCGGCGGATAGTTCAAACACATATTTTTTTCAATAAAAACAATAATTTTCTAGCTAGTGATAGTTCAAACTCTGATTGACCCTATTTCGGATCGTCCGAACTTGTCAAATGAAAACGTAAAGTAAGATTTTTTTCGTCAAACTCCATTGAAAGCACGCCACGATTGGCCCCGGAAAAATGCCAATACTTTGATCAACAGACACGTTTAGGGTATTGGGTTGTATGTGTGAGCATTGCAGTACAGCTGTGACAGACAAACCATAAATATATGTCACAGATTTTAGCGTTGATTCATTTTTTTTACATTGTTTGAAAAATACATCGTGCACAAGACAGCCAATTTCAACTTAGGCCCCGAAAATACATGCGATCAGTACGAACTGATGTCAGGCTGTATGGCTGTATGCTAAGAAATCGCCCGTGTGTTGTCAAATACAGTGTTAACTAAGCATTTTGATTATTTTATTGCGACCGACATCCCTTAATTATTGCCAATCAAGGTGTTACCTGTAAACGTGTGCCCTCACACCAGGTAGGGTAGGACACGATGTCGTGGTAGGAATCGGCCGGGCAGCCATGGTGAGTGACGTAATTAGCATTCATTTCAAAGTCCAAACAATCCACAGGTGTCCCAATTAGCGATGGGTAATTTTGAAGGTGTCAAATAAGTTTGGTAGGTATTATGACTATATCACTTATAATTTAAAAGCAGACATGTTGATGTTCTGACCTAATTTTACTAACATATAGACCTATATTTACTGTACAGTAGCGCTTTGTAAGCGCAACAGGTTATGTAGACTATGTTTTCAATTTATTAAACAGACCATTCATTACGAAACAATGTATACAATAGTTTCTGATTCAAATAAAACCTAACCACGCAGAGACTCAATATCCAGGTCTCTGATACAAGCTAGGTAGTCTTAACTTTTGTGTCACAAATGAAACGTGTACTGTTTCGGGGCCTACACAAGGGCCTCTGCTTCGCAATAACGATCACAATTATCACGAAATGAAAAAAGTTTAATGATCAATTAACATTTAATAATATACTATCATTTTACCCATTTATAAATGTGCCATTGTTCTATGCCAGGCCGTCGTTGTTCCGTATCAACCTTACATTGGATATATAGAGGTATACTCCGGTGAAGAAAATATGTCGGGTATATGTTTGTGACTTGATTTGCACTTTGCCGAAATTTTTGCCGATAGTTTGAACTCACGCTTATTTTCTGAAGCATAATTTTGTATAATCCGAACAGGTTCATCAATATTTATTTCATTTTGTTCGAACTGACCGAAGGTTTACCGTACATGTGTTTCTATTGATAGTTGCAGTATTAAATTAACATACATAGGCGAGCTATGCTTTTCTCCGACAGCTCTTGTTAAAAATAGGGGTAACCCTAGCGAGCTAATGTTGGTCTGGAATATAGCCTTTAGATAAGACCATGTTAACCAAGTTTGTAATAGGTCTTAATGCCACAACATGTGAGCTGAAGAAACCTGTAGCCTATTTTGGTCCGATTTTCTTTATATATTTTATTACTTTTTCTTCACTTAGCTCTTTAAAGTTAAAATTCCTTTCGGGCAGATCAGTGTTTTCTCTTATTGCTAAAACACTAGGGTGATCTGCTCCTTCAGGACAATTTGTATTTACCTACACCTATATCAGTGGCAACATTTACGAAAAAATCAGTAAAAATATCACAGACATCTGGTGGATGTGTAACTAGCTTTAGCTCAAGTGACCTATTGCTATCCGTCTTCCTCCGTTGTCGTGCGTTAACATTTTACATTTTCAACTTAAGCTGAAAAACTGGCAAAGGGATTTCATTAATATTTCATGGGAAGGTTACTGACATCTCCCTGACCAAGTGTTGTTATTTTTCGGGTCGATCAGAAATCCAATATGGCCACCATGGCCGCCATTTTAAACTATTTCAAACTTAAAGTCTAGTTCTGCTGGACCGTTTGAACTGAAACTAAATAGAAATTATTAACACATGGTCCTGACAAAGTGTTGTTAATTATCGGATCAATCAGAAATCCAATATGGCCACCAAGGCCGCCATTTTGAAAAAAACTATTTCAAACTTAAAGTCAAGTTCTGCTGGACCGATTGAACTGAAACTAAATAGAAATGATCGACTCATGGTTAAATGAGAATTAACGTCTTCCTTTCTTTCAAATTCTTTAATCTAAAGGATGACTGCTACCTGCAACGTACAAACATAATATAATGATTAGTTATCTCCTCCCCCAAGGGCAAGTTTATATGGAACATAGAAAACTGATAAGCCAGGTCTCTGAGTGATAACTTGAATAAGTCATCTGTCCTTAATGACTGATCACAAAAACAAGCACAACGATAGTCTCTCAAAAATAAAATCCAGACACATAAAAGTCACTTTAGTTTTTCAGGCCCCCGAAGTCCAGGCTCTTCCTCCATGGTGCAATGACGAAGTCTTCGTGGTTGTTCCAATTCCTTTACTCCGGTCTTATTATGAGGTTGAAGACGGGCAAGAGCTCGTGTTACCCGAGCCCCCACAGGCTCAACAAGTTTGTGAGTTTGTCAAATGGTCTGTCATATCAAAGTTCAATCGATGTGGTGTTGACAGAGACTCCTGTGTGGGGGTGGTAGCTTGTGGCCTGATCCTATTAGATGGTGTCTGTCGCACATGTGGTGATGGCGAGGGAAGTGGAGCCTGTAGGGCCTGT